CCGCAAGACTGCAGTTCTGAACCTTTGGCCGCTAAGGGGCTTGACGCAACATTGGAAGATTGGGAGCAGCGCTTTGACTGGAAGGAACAAGCTTGGGCCACAGCAAGCTTAAGTTGCTTTGCTCGCGCACAGGCCCACGATCACCTCCTGCGACATTTGAACACAAGCTTATCAAGGGCAGAAGCTTCCAACTTGTACTCAGCCTACACGCTGGCGCCAAACGCGCCGCATTGCGGTGTGACAGAACATTGTGCAGTGTTGCGCCAACCGCACGATTTTGTGGCAGACACGCGGAGCATGATGGCTCCGGCGGAGCAGGCTTTAACCGCGCGAACGCTTGTCGCCGTGCGTTTGCGTTGCAAGGTGACGGGCGTAGCTGCATTTCCTGGCGGAGCTTCTAGAGCCTTTGGTTTTGACGTCTCAAAAATGCGAAGAATTGTCCAAGAATTGCAGACTGTTGCGCCCCCTAGCTTGACAGTTTTCAGGCTCGCCAAGCTTGGCTCTTCAGCGTCTGGGCCAGGACAGAGTGACTGTGAGCGGAGCTTGGCAAGCAAGACAAAGTGTTGTCGAGTGTGGCAAGGAGCTGCGGATGCAATTTTACCAACTGTGCTCATCAAGCAGGTTGGTGTGCTTGCGTGTGCAGCCACTGTCAATTGATTTGCAGCGCCGAAGCTTACTAGGCTGTGGCTATGGGGCTGGGGATGGTGCAGGTGAGCGTTTGCCTGAAGAGAGGAAGGTGTTGTGATTCGCTGTAGCAGGTGATCATCGTTGCTTGGCAGCACAGAAAGAAGGCTGGGATTCGCGCGGCGCAAATCTGTTTCAATGCCAGGCTGCTGTGGTGCACTTTGTCCCGCCAATGGTGCGCGCAAATCTTGGTAGACCGCTGGTGAGACGCCCCAGAAGTGTTGCGTGCAGATCCCGCCGCCGCCCCTTGGCCTTGAAGTGAGCCTTTGAGTTGGAAGCTTTGTGTCAATAGCGCTTGCTGTTCTTAGAGTTAGCTACAAGACTATTGTTGCCTGCCCGCAGGATCTGGATCCTGATGCCTTTGTTTTGGCACGACCATTCTTTACCTCTCTTCCAAGCACATGTGTGAAAGCTGCGATTTTGCGCCAGCATGCCAATGGTCACTGGTGCGCGCTGAGTGCGCAGTGCGCGCGATGGCTTGCGAGTGTTGGTCTGGAGGCCACAATTGCTTTGGCGCAGTTCTTTACCCGATTCCAATGGTTGACTTCATGTGTGCCCAACGCTGCCAATTGCTCAATGCACGTGAACTGTTGTTGGCTTGGCCAGAATGGCGGACGTCACTGACAGCATGACTCTTGTCTAAAAGAGATTTTGTCGCTTGTGTGCGTGGTTGATAGAAGACGAATTCTCGCGCGTGATGTCAGGATGGATGGAATCATCAGCGGATTTCCAAACACATATGCTTCAAAGTCAGAAATCTGCGCGTGACCGCCCGAAAGAGTTGGCCTTGTTTGGCAGGGTCGGGAAAACATCCGACGCTGCGTACAAGGCAGGCAGCTCTTTACTTCGCTGCAGCAGTGACGGTGCATTTTTTGGGGAGGCGTGCTTCTCCAGCTTCATGTCCATGCATTGCTCGTCGATTTTTCCTCGTTGCACAACGCCTTTCAGCCGGGCAGAGTTCATGCCGGTGGGCGGGCGGGTGCCCATGTGCTTCCCCCTGCGCCTGGGCGCGCAACGCAAGAGTGTCACCCACGCGGCAAGGGGGTTTAGCGTTTGGGGCGTCTCTCCACGCGCAGGCGCAAAGCGTGTGTGTTGCCAAACCCAGGTGTATTTTGCCGCTGGTGCTCTGTCCAGGACACTTCTGATTGCATTTTTGTAGCGCAGTGCGGCAAGAGCGCGCAGGATTTTGGCTGGATGATGTGATTGGCGTGTGTACAATGGTGAGTGTGCCGCCGCTGTGCACTGTGGTGTGCCTTGACAAGTAGTGATATGTCCAATATTTTGTTTGGCGATTGACAGGCGTTTTTCTGGAACGTTTGGAGGCAAGGCCTCATCAGAGTTGGCGTCGGCGCAACGCTTGGATCTTGGCAGGGCCGCCCCTCAGTACCAGGCAGCGCAGCAGCAGGTTTTCCTGTCAGAAGGTGAAGCTGCTGCTTGCGCAGACCTTCGACGACGCAAACCCATTTCCGCGTGATTGCCCGCCCGCTGATTTCAGCCAGAGCGGGTTAGATAGCCCAGAGGCCTGCTCTTGCAAGACAATGCTTTTCAAAAAGTTGCTCCGAGATGCAAGGACCCCCAGATGTTTGACGCCGTGCCTCTTGCCGAGTCTCAGAGCGCTGTGGAAGAAGAAGCTGAGCTTCTGGCAGCCCCAGCAGCCATCGCTGGCGGCCTGCGCGCGCAACGGCTGGGCAAGAACGCGCGAGCTAGCCGCCAAGGGTTGGCGAGATCCGCGGAGTCTGCCCTGTTGCCTGGCAGCGACAGCCGCAAAGGCCAAGATGTTGCTCAGGAAGGAGAGACGCGGGAGGCAGAGGCAGGCAGTGCGGGCGCGGGCGAGCTCCCGCCTGTGAAAGTGTAATCGGAGGCAGCCGTAGGTGACCAAGTTTCGCCGAACAATGCTGTGTCGTGTGCTTCGCAAAGTGTTGGCCTGCCCCACACAGGAAGAAAAATCAGGGGGATGGCTGCGAAACAATGCGCCGGGCATTTTTAGGATTTCATGCTGAAGCACATCCTTGGCGCTTAACCTTTGTTTGAGATGGGCGCGAAAAGGTTTCTTGGCGCGCAGGTTCCGCCGCGCGTGCTGGCTTGCCTTGAGCGTGCGCCTGTGCGTGGTTGTTGAAAAGGTGCACACGCGCGCAGCCGCGCAGCCCTGTTGCCCCCAGGTTGAGGACAGCCGTGGCGTGGTTTTTGCTGGCGTGAGCTGCGCAGGGGCTTCTGCAATCGCACGGGCTGACGTGTTTGTTGCGCTTGTGCTGGCAAAAGGCGTGCGAATACTTGGCCCACCTGGAGCAGCTTCCATGCTGGCCTGTTGGAGTTGCGGACAAGTAGCGGGGAGTAGCGAAGACTTGCTGCAGCTGGCAGACCAGAGCGTACTGGCGGATCAGCTGCAGGCTGCAGCCAAGCTGGAAAGAGGGGTTGGCGCAGCCTTGTTGATGCCGCAAAGCAAGCAGCGGCCGCGACAAATGCTGCCCCGAAAATGTCTGGCGACCCCAGACACTCTTATCTTTTAGAGGGCCACTCGGTTGGCAAGTTGTTCTATGTACATTATTTGCATTGGTCTGCTTTGTTCTAGCCGTAAGCAAGCCTGCCTGCGCAAGAACATCATTTACAGGGCCAGCGAAGGCGCCAGCAAGAATGTTCGAGGCGTTTTGCGTCGCTGCTGTTGCGCTGTTATTGCACCGCGTTGGCTCGATTCAGACAGGCGCGCGTGGTTAGTGTGCCACTTGGCGCATGAGTGGAGAGCGAGTAAGTTTGGCAAGGTTTTGCCAGAGGAGATGTGCTCGATGATGTTGGTGCTGGCTTTACCTGTCAGATCCGAAGTCAGGCAGGCGTGTAACGTGTTGCAGGAGCAGTGCTTGCAAACTCAAAAATAACAATGGCGCCAGATGTGCCAGGCTTGCTTACTTTCTGAAGTTGACGTGTTGCAAGCGCCGCAATTGTGCTTGTTCAGATGACCTGCACGATGTCCTGCGCGGGCTCAAGCTGGTAGCTCCGGGCGATGACGACGAGGAGCCTTTTGCTTCGCCCTTGCGTTTCAGGTTCCTGGGCCAAGAAAGCGTGCGAAGCCTGCGCGAAAAGAACAACAGTGCGACGCTGATATGTCCGTCTTGTGCCCCCAGGCTTCACGAAACAACAGCCTGGTGTTGGTTGTGCTTTGACTTTGCTTGCGCAGGGGTTCGTGTTCTTGCCTGACGACGCAGCATGCTTGCCAGCAGTGGAGTACTTGGGTCCGTGCTGCACTGGGGATTGCTGCGCAGATGCACGCGAGCGGTTCCAAGGTCCGTGCCCTCAGCGAGTTTACTTTCGCAACATGTCCACGCCTGCAAAGTTAAGATGGTCTGCTGACTGAACAGTAGTGTTCCCACACGTGCAGCGAAGACGGGATGTTGGCAACTAGGTCGAAGATGTGTGCAGCTCGTTGGCCCTGCCAGACATGTGACAGGCAAGGGCCTTGGAGCAAAACACTTGCTCAGTTCGTGCGGCTGTCAGGGATTACTCCAGCCACCAATGTCCGCACGGTTTCCGCCCGACGTCCAAGGCTCGCTGGGAATGCCAGCCTGGCCCCGAGTACACAGGGCCATGCGCGGCCGCTGCGCGATTTGACGGCTTCAACCAGTGGATGCTTGCAAAGTGGCAAGATAGGTGCCAGGCGTATTGGCCATGCCAAGAACATTCACCTGCCGACTTGACTGCGGAAGTCAAGCGCATCTTAAGCCCGCTCTCGCTTGCTGCCACATTGCGGAGATTGTCGCAGCTGTGAGAGTTGGGTTGCGCGCAAAGTGGGCCAAGACTCACGCAGAGAAGGTTTACGCAGAGCTATGGTAAGGCGTTCGCCATCTTTGTGTTGTGTTGGCCGCGGACAGTGTAGTCATGACACTTGCGCTTCTTGCAAGCGCTTGCGTCAGCTCAAATGCCTGCGATCTCAGCGTCAGTTGTTCGGAAACTCACAGTAGTGGCAGCGCGCACCACACAGAAATAAGGTAAAGAGGCGTGTGCAAGCAAGCTTGTGGTTTAGTCAGATGCGTGTTGCGATTGTGCGTGGAGGGGTGTGTGGTCTGGGTGGCTCAACTGGGATGCTGCACCAGCTTGCTTGCATGCTTGTGGCCAACCCTCAGGTACTGCCCTTCCCTGTCTTGTGCTTGTTGACAGCTTGTTGTGAGGTTGAGGGTAGGTGTGGCAGTTGCGTGAAAAACAAGTGGGAGGGGAGTGCCTGTGGGTTTGTTTGCTGTAGCTCGCAACGCTTTCACTTTTTTGTTCAGGGCAGGCAGTGGTGCGAAAGACATAGCAGCTTTCCTTGTCCTTGTCTTGCTTCTTGAAGCATGTGGTGTCTTTGTGCTGCCCTGTTGCTGGGCTCGCAAGCAGCTGCAGCAGCTGGGCCTCCTGCCAGCTTCATGCTCATTAGCGGGATTACTTCGCAGGAGGAGATGTGCCTTGTTGGGTCTGGTGCAGCAGTTTACTTGGAAGCCTGCAGTGAGTCTGTGGCTGCGATGGATGGGCGCGAAGTTTGGACTTTGTCGCCTGGCGGCGCGCTGACCAACACTGCGTCTGGCAAGTGCTTGGGCGCCGGCCTCGAACGCGCTGCGTCTGGCGAGGTGTTGAAGCTTGCTGCGTGTGATAACGCAGGGCCAGAGGCGAAGTGGGAGCTGCAGGGCAACGGGCAGGTGAAGCTTGGCGCTGGTGGGGTGTGCTTGAGTCAGACAGGGCTTGCTCCGCACGTTGCTGATGCTGCAGCAGGGGCGTCTGTAGTGGCCAGCTCCACGTTGGATCCTGGGCACGGTGCTGTGTTGGCCGTGGACGGTGTGGCTTCCAGCTTTTGGGCGTCGAAGCTGGACGAACAAGGGCCCGTCACCTTGTCTGTCGACTTGGGAGAGCCAGCGCGTGTGTCTGCAGTTGTTTTGGATTTTGAGTATGCGCCGTCAGCTTTTGCGCTGCAGATCAGCTCTAACGATGGCCGTTGGACGGAGGTGTATGCCACAGACTCCAACGCCTTGAAGCGTGTGAAGGTGTCTTTGCCAAACGCAGAGCTTGCGCGTGGGGTGAAGGTAGTCATGACAAGGCCTCACCCGGCGCACGGCTCATTGGCTGGTCACACGCTGTACGGAGTGCGGTCTCTGGAAGTGCTTGGGCCAGCGATGCAAGCTGTTCTAGAATCCTGCGCTACTGCTGCGAAGAGCGGGGACGCTCGGGATAAATACTTTGCAGTGTCTGTGGGAACGTTGGATACCGGCGCTGGTGCTGCGCTGCGGTCCGAGCTGCCAGCCTTGGAGTCGGCTGACGCTGCCTTGTCAGCTGTAGTGGTGGAGCTGGCGGAAGCCTTGCCTGCGATCCCAGCGTGCAGCTCAGGCCGTGCTGCGTCCCTACAAGCAGTTTCTGCTTCCGCTGCTGTGCGACGCGTGGCCGCTGACTCTGGTGTGAAGTTGGACGCAGCGCAAAAGGATGCTCTTTTCCAGGAGGCCAAGCTCACAGTAGTGGCAGCGCGCAGCGCAATGCAGAAATGAGGCAGAGAGGTGTGCTGGTGATGAGAGCAGCCCCATGAAGTTGCTGCAAGGAACCCTTTCAAATTAGTCAGCTTTGCCGCGCAGGAGGTTTGGCGCTGGCATGGCTGCAATGCAAGAGCGAGCCTTGGTTGCTGAAGTGTAAAGATCAACGCCGGCGCTGTTTTGGCAGGCAGCCTTGGTGAAAGCAGTGGCAGTTTTTTGTTGTGTTGTGTTGTTGAAACATGTGGCGTCTTTCTGCTGCCCTGTTGCTGGGCTCGCAAGCAGCTGCAGCAGCAGCTGGGCCTCCTGCCAGCTTCATGCTCATTAGCGGGATTACTTCGCAGGAGGAGATGTGCCTTGTTGGGACTGCTTCAGCAGTTTACTTGGAAGCCTGCAGCGAGTCTGTGGCTGCGATGGATGGGCGTGAGGTCTGGGCTTTGACGCCTGGCGGCGCGCTGACCAACGCTGCGTCTGGCAAGTGCTTGGGCGCCGGCCTCGAACGCGCTGCGTCTGGCGAGGTGTTGAAGCTTGCTGCGTGTGATAACGCAGGGCCAGAGGCGAAGTGGGAGCTGCAGGGCAACGGGCAGGTGAAGCTTGGCGCTGGTGGGGTGTGCTTGAGTCAGACAGGGCTTGCTCCGCACGTTGCTGATGCTGCAGCAGGGGCGTCTGTAGTGGCCAGCTCCACGTTGGATCCTGGGCACGGTGCTGTGTTGGCCGTGGACGGTGTGGCTTCCAGCTTTTGGGCGTCGAAGCTGGACGAACAAGGGCCCGTCACCTTGTCTGTCGACTTGGGAGAGCCAGCGCGTGTGTCTGCAGTTGTTTTGGATTTTGAGTATGCGCCGTCAGCTTTTGCGCTGCAGATCAGCTCTAACGATGGCCGTTGGACGGAGGTGTACGCCACAGACTCCAACGCCTTGAAGCGTGTGAAGGTGTCTTTGCCAAACGCAGAGCTTGCGCGTGGGGTGAAGCTGGTCATGACAAGGCCTCACCCGGTGCGCGTCTCCATTGTTGTCACACGCTGTGACGAGGTGCGTCCCTGTAAGTGCTTGGTCCAAGCGATGCGAATCTGTTCTAGAATCCTGCAGCTACTGCCTGCGAAGAGCGGGGACGCTCGGGAATAAAATACTTGCAGTGTCTGTGGAACTTGGATACCGGCGCTGGTGCTGCGCTGCGGTCCGAGCTGCCAGCCTTGGAGTCGGCTGACGCTGCCTTGTCAGCTGTAGTGGTGGAGCTGGCGGAAGCCTTGCCTGCGATCCCAGCGTGCAGCTCAGGCCGTGCTGCGTCCCTACAAGCAGTTTCTGCTTCCGCTGCTGTGCGACGCGTGGCCGCTGACTCTGGTGTGAAGTTGGACGCAGCGCAAAAGGATGCTCTTTTCCAGGAGGCCAAGCTCACAGTAGTGGCAGCGCGCAGCGCAATGCAGAAATGAGGCAGAGAGGTGTGCTGGTGATGAGAGCAGCCCCATGAAGTTGCTGCAAGGAACCCTTTCAAATTAGTCAGCTTTGCCGCGCAGGAGGTTTGGCGCTGGCATGGCTGCAATGCAAGAGCAAGCCTTGGTTGCTGAAGCTCCGTGTAAAGATCAACGCCGGCGCTGTTTTGGCAGGCAGCCTTTGTGAAAGCAGTGGCAGATTTTTGTGGTGTTGTGTTGTTGAAACATGTGGCGTCTTTCTGCTGTCCTGTTGCTTGGCCCGCAAGCAGCTGCAGCAGCAGCTGGGCCTCCTGCCAGCTTCATGCTCATTAGCGGGATTACTTCGCAGGAGGAGATGTGCCTTGTTGGGACTGGTGCAGCAGTTTACTTGGAAGCCTGCAGCGAGTCTGTGGCTGCGATGGATGGGCGTGAGGTCTGGGCTTTGACGCCTGGCGGCGCGCTGACCAACACTGCGTCTGGCAAGTGCTTGGGCGCCGGCCTCGAACGCGCTGCGTCTGGCGAGGTGTTGAAGCTTGCTGCGTGTGATAACGCAGGGCCAGAGGCGAAGTGGGAGCTGCAGGGCAACGGGCAGGTGAAGCTTGGCGCTGGTGGGGTGTGCTTGAGTCAGACAGGGCTTGCTCCGCACGTTGCTGATGCTGCAGCAGGGGCGTCTGTAGTGGCCAGCTCCACGTTGGATCCTGGGCACGGTGCTGTGTTGGCCGTGGACGGTGTGGCTTCCAGCTTTTGGGCGTCGAAGCTGGACGAACAAGGGCCCGTCACCTTGTCTGTCGACTTGGGAGAGCCAGCGCGTGTGTCTGCAGTTGTTTTGGATTTTGAGTATGCGCCGTCAGCTTTTGCGCTGCAGATCAGCTCTAACGATGGCCGTTGGACGGAGGTGTACGCCACAGACTCCAACGCCTTGAAGCGTGTGAAGGTGTCTTTGCCAAACGCAGAGCTTGCGCGTGGGGTGAAGCTGGTCATGACAAGGCCTCACCCGGTGCACGGCTCATTGGCTGGTCACACGCTGTACGGAGTGCGGTCCCTGGAAGTGCTTGGGCCAGCGATGCAAGCTGTTCTAGAATCCTGCGCTACTGCTGCGAAGAGCGGGGACGCTCGGGATAAATACTTTGCAGTGTCTGTGGGACGTTGGATACCGGCGCTGGTGCTGCGCTGCGGTCCGAGCTGCCAGCCTTGGAGTCGGCTGACGCTGCCTTGTCAGCTGTAGTGGTGGAGCTGGCGGAAGCCTTGCCTGCGATCCCAGCGTGCAGCTCAGGCCGTGCTGCGTCCCTACAAGCAGTTTCTGCTGCCGCTGCTGTGCGACGCGTGGCCGCTGACTCTGGTGTGAAGTTGGACGCAGCGCAAAAGGATGCTCTTTTCCAGGAGGCCAAGCTCACAGTAGTGGCAGCGCGCAGCGCAATGCAGAAATGAGGCAGAGAGGTGTGCTGGTGATGAGAGCAGCCCCATGAAGTTGCTGCGAGAAGGTGAGCGAAAATACGCCGTGTTTGTGTCAAGAAACAAACCCTGCGTGTGTGTGTGTGTGTGCCGCCCCATGGGTGTGGAGTCTGGGCAGCTTTGTGATCCCACTCAGCGTCTCAGCGTCTGAACCAACTTGTGAAAGAAAGCGTAGGCGGTTGAAGGAATGGCTGCGCAGTTCTTCATGCTTGTGGTGCTGTGCGCCCAGACTGTGTCTGCGCAAAAGTTTGCAGCTTTCGACGCTGCCAGCTCGTCGAGTGTGTACTCCAGCAAGTCTTTCGCTGCGAGCCTAGCAGTGGCAGAGTCTTCTGGGCACGCCAAAGCACATTAGTTTCTCTTTTCTCCAAAGCAGTTTGCAACTCGCGCAGGTATTGGTGCAGTGCTGGGCAAGACAGATAAGACTAGACGACTGTGCGTTGCTGTTTTAGCGCCGCGCGCTGGCAGGCACCACGCGCCGGGCGAGGTTGTTTCCTGGACAGGGGAGTTTAACTCCCGCCGGCAGATCTCGGGCGTGCAGTTGCGCTGGAGCTACGCGCCGGCAGAAGTGAAGGTGCTGACCAGCGCTGACGGTGGCAACTTTGAGGAAGCCGCAGCCTGGAGGCGCATTGCGCGCAGCGAGCCCAGCTTTGAGGAGACAGTGATGTTTGCCGGGCCTGTTGCAGCAAAGTCGGTGATGGTGTTGATGCGTGGGCCAAAGCCTTGGGGCTATTTTGGCTTGGCCGGCGCTGCGGCCTTGGCAGGGCCTGCTTCCTTCATGCTTGTGAGCGGAGCGCCAGGCCGTGAAGAGCAGTGTGCTGTGGCTGGGTCCAAAGGCTTGCGTGCGGAGGCTTGCTTGACAGCGCTGGTGGCAGGGGAGGGCAAGGAGATTTTCAGCTTGTCGGACGACGGAGAGCTTAAGACCAACGCGGGCCAGTGTTTGGGCTTGCGAGCTGGGGCTTTGTCGTTCCAAACGTGCGCGGGAAGCCAGAGCGCTTGGGAAGCAACGGCAGACGGGCAAGTGAGGCAGGGGGGCATGTGTTTAAGCTTGTCGGGGGAGAGCATTGCTGCAATGGACTGCAGTGAAGCTGCGGTTCTGGGAAGCGACAAGTTTTTCCAGGTGGCTGTTGGGGCCCAAGATCCAGCAGCTGCGGTGGCAGTGCGGACCATGGGGGAGCTACTCCGGGCCAGCGTGGAGCGGCAGCGCAAGCTTGTGGCAAGGCTGCAGGCCTTGCTGCCGAAGTTTGCCACTTGCAAGACTTCCAGCTTGAGAAGCTTCGCGTTCCGCGCGCAGTCGGTGTCTGCAGCAGGGCAGTCGGCCAAGTTAGCGAGCCTAGGAGAGAAGATTGGGGAACGCTTTGGCCCTGGTGTAGGAGAGGCAAACTCTGTGTTGTTGGCAACAGCGAAAGTCTTGGAAGCTGTCGGGGCGGCCTCTGCTCGGTGAGGCGTGTCCAAGCTCATGGCCGTGTTCGGCGGATCTAGTTTGCGCTGGGGCAGCCCCAAGTGGCGCCGTGCTTGCAGACGCAGTCAGCCTCAGACAACCGAGCCTGTAAAGCCGCCTTGCAAGATGGCAGTGTTGCGCAACGGCGTAGGATTGCGTCTCAGCCAACTTGTCAAAGAAGGTGCCGGCGCTGCCAGCCAGCAGTTCAAGGATGGCCGCGCAGTTCTTCATTTTTGTGGTGTTGTGCGCCCAGACGGTGTCTGCGCAAAAGTTTGCAGCTTTTGATGCTGCTACCTCGTCAAGTGTGTACTCCAGCAAGTCTTTCGCTGCGAACCTAGCAGTGGCAGAGTCTTCGGGGCACGCCAAAGCACATTAGTTTCTTTTTTCTCCAAAGCAGTTTGCAACTCGCGCAGGTATTGGTGCAGTGCTGGGCAAGACAGACAAGATGTAGATGACTGTGCGTTGCTGTTTTAGTGCTGTGCGTTGGCAGGCACCACGCGCCGGGCGAGGTTGTTTCTTGGACAGGGGAGTTCAACTCCCGCCGGCAGATCTCGGGCGTGCAGTTGCGCTGGAGCTACGCGCCGGCAGAAGTGAAGGTGCTGACCAGCGCTGACGGTGGCAACTTTGAGGAAGCCGCAGCCTGGAGGCGCATTGCGCGCAGCGAGCCCAGCTTTGAGGAGACAGTGATGTTTGCCGGGCCTGTTGCAGCAAAGTCGGTGATGGTGTTGATGCGTGGGCCAAAGCCTTGGGGCTATTTTGGCTTGGCTGGCGCTGCGGCCTTGGCAGGGCCTGCTTCCTTCATGCTTGTGAGCGGAGCGCCAGGCCGTGAAGAGCAGTGTGCTGTGGCTGGGTCCAAAGGCTTGCGTGCGGAGGCTTGCTTGACAGCGCTGGTGGCAGGGGAGGGCAAGGAGATTTTCAGCTTGTCGGACGACGGAGAGCTTAAGACCAACGCGGGCCAGTGTTTGGGCTTGCGAGCTGGGGCTTTGTCGTTCCAAACGTGCGCGGGAAGCCAGAGCGCTTGGGAAGCAACGGCAGACGGGCAAGTGAGGCAGGGGGGCATGTGTTTAAGCTTGTCGGGGGAGAGCATTGCTGCAATGGACTGCAGTGAAGCTGCGGTTCTGGGAAGCGACAAGTTTTTCCAGGTGGCTGTTGGGGCCCAAGATCCAGCAGCTGCGGTGGCAGTGCGGACCATGGGGGAGCTGCTCCGGGCCAGCGTGGAGCGGCAGCGCAAGCTTGTGGCAAGGCTGCAGGCCTTGCTGCCGAAGTTGGCCACTTGCAAGACTTCCAGCTTGAGAAGCTTCGCGTTCCGCGCGCAGTCGGTGTCTGCAGCAGGGCAGTCGGCCAAGTTAGCGAGCCTAGGAGAGAAGATTGGGGAACGCTTTGGCCCTGGTGTAGGAGAGGCAAACTCTGTGTTGTTGGCAACAGCGAAAGTCTTGGAAGCTGTTGGGGCGGCCTCTGCTCGGTGAGGCGTGTCCAAGCTCATGGCCGTGTTCGGCGGATCTAGTTTGCGCTGGGGCAGCCCCAAGTGGCGCCGTGCTTGCAGACGCAGTCAGCCTCAGACAACCGAGCCTGTAAAGCCGCCTTGCAAGATGGCAGTGTTGCGCAACGGCGTAGGATTGCGTCTCAGCCAACTTGTCAAAGAAGGTGCCGGCGCTGCCAGCCAGCAGTTCAAGGATGGCCGCGCAGTTCTTCATTTTTGTGGTGTTGTGCGCCCAGACGGTGTCTGCGCAAAAGTTTGCAGCTTTTGATGCTGCTACCTCGTCAAGTGTGTACTCCAGCAAGTCTTTCGCTGCGAACCTAGCAGTGGCAGAGTCTTCTGGGCACGCAAAAGCACATTAGTTTCTCTTTTCACCAAAGCAGTTTGCAACTCGCGCAGGTATTGGTGCAGTGCTGGGCAAGACAGATAAGATGTAGATGACTGTGCGCTGCTGTTTTAGTGCCGCGCGCTGGCAGGCACCACGCGCCGGGCGAGGTTGTTTCTTGGACAGGGGAGTTCAACTCCCGCCGGCAGATCTCGGGCGTGCAGTTGCGCTGGAGCTACGCGCCGGCAGAAGTGAAGGTGCTGACCAGCGCTGACGGTGGCAACTTTGAGGAAGCCGCAGCCTGGAGGCGCATTGCGCGCAGCGAGCCCAGCTTTGAGGAGACAGTGATGTTTGCCGGGCCTGTTGCAGCAAAGTCGGTGATGGTGTTGATGCGTGGGCCAAAGCCTTGGGGCTATTTTGGCTTGGCTGGCGCTGCGGCCTTGGCAGGGCCTGCTTCCTTCATGCTTGTGAGCGGAGCGCCAGGCCGTGAAGAGCAGTGTGCTGTGGCTGGGTCCAAAGGCTTGCGTGCGGAGGCTTGCTTGACAGCGCTGGTGGCAGGGGAGGGCAAGGAGATTTTCAGCTTGTCGGACGACGGAGAGCTTAAGACCAACGCGGGCCAGTGTTTGGGCTTGCGAGCTGGGGCTTTGTCGTTCCAAACGTGCGCGGGAAGCCAGAGCGCTTGGGAAGCAACGGCAGACGGGCAAGTGAGGCAGGGGGGCATGTGTTTAAGCTTGTCGGGGGAAAGCGTTGCTGCAATGGACTGCAGTGAAGCTGCGGTTCTGGGAAGCGACAAGTTTTTCCAGGTGGCTGTTGGGGCCCAAGATCCAGCAGCTGCGGTGGCAGTGCGGACCGTAGGGGAGCTACTCCGGGCCAGCGTGGAGCGGCAGCGCAAGCTTGTGGCAAGGCTGCAGGCCTTGCTGCCGAAGTTGGCCACTTGCAAGACTTCCAGCTTGAGAAGCTTCGCGTTCCGCGCGCAGTCGGTGTCTGCAGCAGGGCAGTCGGCCAAGTTAGCAAGCCTAGGAGAGAAGATTGGGGAACGCTTTGGCCCTGGTGTAGGAGAGGCAAACTCTGTGTTGTTGGCAACAGCGAAAGTCTTGGAAGCTGTTGGGGCGGCCTCTGCTCGGTGAGGCGTGTCCAAGTTCATGGCCGTGTTCGGCGGGTCTAGTTGCAGCCCCAAGTGGCGCCGTGCTTGCGCAGACGCAGTTGGCTCAGACAAGGTGGTGTCGGTGCTGTCTGCTGCGGAGCTTTTCTTGTTTGCGACGTTGTGTTCTCCAGCAACTCTTTCGGACGGCGGCAACTTTGAGGAAGCCCAGCTTCACGGAGACGCTGTTTAGTGCAAGGGTTGGGCCAGGTGGTGTATGTTACTTGTGAGAAGGTGAGTGAGCGCCGTTCGTACTGCATCATGCGCAGCACGCACAGTCGCAGGGGTCCGTGTTAGCCTCACTGAGCCAGGCTTCATCTCGGGGCACCTTGCATGGTTCCCACGCGTGGCCTCTAAACATTCTTGAGCAGTAACTGTGGTTGTGGGGTGCCCGCCAAGAGTTGCTTGGCTGCAGCCCACGCGCTTCCAGGCTTCCAGCCACACGACTGTAAAAAAAACAAACATGCTTGGTGGTTAGATGATCTGCGTGTGCCGCTTGTTGAGGGGCTTGAACTTTGGTTGGAGAGCTGGTTGTGTTCCTCTGCGTGCGGGTCCCGAGTTTTTTTCACACAGCCGACCATGTCTGATTGCTTGTGAAAGGGGGTGCGGGTTGCTGGCTCGAGGTTCTTTTGCTGGTTCCCATGTTTGTATTAGGAATGTTGAGTGGTTGCTGTTGCTTGGAGAAGGGTGTCGTTGTGAGCGCTAGAAAGGCTAACGTTTTGTTTCGGGCATGTTTTGGCTTGGTGCCTATCTCATGTTGGCGCGGATGGCGTATGCGAATGTGGCTTCAGTGACTTCTATGCCCTGGAAACACTTGCCGGATGTTAAGTCTGTCTGTGAATGCCAGGATGTGCTTCATTCGTTACGCCAGCGCTACCCAGAAGTAAGTTTAGCGAGGCCATCGAGGCACAAAGAGCAAGCCTTGGCAATTGGTGGGCAGGTGGACCAGGACACGTTGGTGAGACTCATTGATGTTGAAATGGAGCAGCAGGGCGTGGGCTGCGAGCGGGTGCGTCAGCTGCTTTTTGGTTGTGCGCGGCGAGTTGAGTCTAGCCAGGATGTGTCGAGCTTATGCCCAGACGGCTGTCCCAAGATTTTGGTGGGGGGGCGCAAGCATGTGCAAACTTGGAGCAGGATGGAGCGAAGCGGATGGAGCGAGCGGCTTGTGTCTGGCGCCAGAGAACCATTTTCCAACGCGGCGATGCCCGTCTCAGATAAATTTTGGTATGTTTCCAGCAAGCTTTAGCAAGGCGAAGAGGTGAGCGAGCCTGTGCTGTGGAAGGCAATCTATCACCCCGGGAAAAAATACAGCTCGCGATTACTTGCCAAGCCAGTTACCCCTGCGCGGGAGAAGCGACAGTGCCAGCGCACGCAAAATCATTTCGATTGCCTGTTTCGCAATCTTGTGCTGTGGACTACAGCAGCGCGTGCCCGTCAGGCTTGGTCAGCTTAGCTTGTCAGGTTGCGAAGGCTAACGCTTGTGCGTGAGGTTGGAGTCTAGACTCAGCTGGATTCTGCACAGTACGACCTTACGCAACTAACGTTGTGCCCTGTCCACACAGATGTTTGCACGAGGCGCCAACAATGTACCGCGGACGGTGCAGTGTGCGGGCTAGGTTTTCCAAGTTCTCGGCCCAGCAGAAAGTTGCTGTAAGCCAAGCATGCGGCTTGCTCTGGCCATGCAAACTATATTGATAGGGGCTTGACGACGGCAAACAGCTTTGCCGGGCTTGGTTGTGCGCGAGATGGAGAAAACTGGGCGCGCGATGAGGCTCGTTCTTTTGCTCGTCCGATCGTTGAGTTGAGTTGGCTGCAAGCGCGCAAAGCCAAGTCAAGAGTTCGCGACAGACGTCGCCTTGCGTCATGCTGTGTTGCTTGGTTATGCTCGTCACTGCAGCCAGCGTGGCCTGGGCGCAGCCGCCTGGTTTCCTGCTGTTGCCGGATCTCAACGCGTCCTGCGAGGGTTTCACGCATCTCGGTGTCGATTTCGACAGAGCGCAGCATCTTTGTTCAACGGTGTGAGTTGCCTTTCTTTGTCGAGAGAAGCGCCGTGGCAGACTGCAGGACCCGTCCTGCACTTACTTCGTCTGGTCTGCGCCGCCAAGAAGCGCAGTGCGCGTTTGTCATGGGTTTTCTCCAGATTTCGAGGCTGGGCTGCTGTGGCACGTGAAGGTTGCGTGTGATCTCGTTGCAAGTGACAGGCTGGGGCTGATGCTCAGGGGATGGTTGTTGGTGTGCGCGAAGACAGCTTGCTGTCTTCGCGTGACTTCAACGTTTTCCCGAACACGCAAGCAGTGTGCGAACCACATCAGTCTCTGGGCACCTTCAAAGTTGACGCCGTCTCTGATGCAGCGCGGGCGTGCCGCGCGACGCAGGGTTGCACGCATTTCTCTTTCTTCTCACTCGCAGCTCGGCCAGACGCGGCAGAAAACACAGCCTACTTGTGCGGCGCAGAGACAATGATGGTTGTGCGTGGCTTGCCTGGTTGGGTTACGGCTGCGGTGCCCAGTGTTGTTCAGCCGGAAGAGCGCGCGGTCTCTCGTGCAAGCGGGCCGCTTATGCTGTGACATGAAAATGAACGCTTGGGCTGAGCGCGTTCCATGCAAACGCTTCTTGCGACTCGTGCTAGTTGTGTCGCGTGCTGATGCAAAAGTAGGGATGCCTTGCGTTGCTCGGTTGCTTATGAAGAGGTGAAGGGGGTTGGTGGCCCATGCCTGTTGCTGCATGCAGTTGGCTTGGGCCCCCCTTGTAACACCTATCGTTCCTAGAAAAAGAAGAGAGCTGTGCCTGCGCAGCATTTCTTCAAGTGTGTGCCGGTGGCTGGCAACCTGTTCTCTGGCGTGAGACATTTTGCTTGTGCGCTTTGCCAAGGCCAAAGCTGCATTGGCAAGCATCTCAGAGCTTGTCCAGCTCAACTTGTTAGGAAGGCGTTGAGCCGTAAAGTTTTGCTCCCACCCTCCCTGTAAGTGGCCAAGCCTCTGCTGCGCTGGCCCAGCTGGCTAGCCCAGCCTTTGTCTTTCGCGCTTGGGTCGCAGGTTGGTTTGCCCGATGTGCTTGACGCGCGCCGATGAGCCCGCAGCCTGTTTGTGCTTTCCGTGCGGCTGAAAACGCCCAAAGTGCAGCTGTCGACGGCGCAGCACGGTTTGTGCCAACGCTGCGCATCTTGTGCCCCCCACCCCTGCTGCCCTGGATTTTCTCCCACTTGCTTTCCCGCTTGCGGTGGATAAAGAAAAGCGTTTGCGCGCTGCTTGTACAAGGCTTGCGCTAGGGGGGCGCGCTTGGCAGGCAAGCTTGCTCGCCTTCTGACTTGCCTGGATGGGAGGGTCCTCAACCTCTTCAAGCGAAAGAACGTCCTCTACCTGAAGAATGCCTGGAGAAGACCCAGCTCCGGGATTTGCCTTGGCAGCCATTGCCTGCTGTGTTTTATGACTCTTGGCTGAGATTCCCTTTGCTGGAGATAGAGAGCGTAGTCCAGGATAGTTCCTGGCACCGTCTTTCCTGCTGCGGCCCTGCAATGTGTTCAAAGAAAGCTCTCTCCGCACGCCATGATGCGTGCAGCTTCAAAGGCCAATTGTAGGCGTTGTTTGCAGGCAAGCAATGGTGGCCTTGTTGTGACTTCAAGCTGCGCATGGTCAAGGTAGGGGTGACAGACAATAAGAGTGAAACAAGCGCACTCCTCTCTTCCACTCTTGCCTTGAGCTGCCTTCCATGCTTGCGCTGTTGCAGTGCTGGTTCGCGCCGCAGAAAAGTCAGTACTAAGGCTGCTGTGTTGTTGGCTGTGTGACCATGAGCTGCAGACGCCTTGTTGCCGTTTGCTTGGCTTTGTTGCTGAACCAATGTGTCGCATCTTCATGCGACCGTGATTATGAAGGGTGCCCGCAGGCAATGGGTGTGTCGCAACGCTGAGGTTTGACTGCAGCGTTTGCAGGGGTGGCAAACAGTCGTGAACGGCACATGCTTCGGCCCAACATCGTACGCTGGCCAGTGCAGTCTGCAACAAGCTGGCTGGGGCAGTCTTAGAGACGACGAAAAAAAGGTGCATCCTTCGCGGAGCACCTTGCCCCTTCCTGTTGTCGCTCTTGCAGGTCGTGGAAAACGAGTAAGGGTTTCTTTTGGAGTGGCCTTTTTTGGCCACTGCGCGTCACTTGGCGCAGGTGCAACGTGATATGCGCGTCCCTTGTCGTGGCGCCTTGCGTCCATGTTGTTTGAGAGTGGGACGCGCAGGGCCTTGCAAGGATCGCTGCCTCCAGGTTCTTGAGAAGTTACGGGTACAACAGCTTGGAAAGATGGTGGTGCAGGACTTTGCCCAACCTTGCCCGCTTTTCTGGTCGCCGATAAATGAGGGCGACGCGTGAGAAAGCGCAGCAATCAGCGTACTCATGAGTATGTAGCGTAGGGCTTTGCAAAGCTCCGAGCTGGTACAAAGGCGACTGCCCTGACACACTTGCTGTCGGCAACGATGTGACCTCGCACCAGGCTTCCCTACTCTCAGTTTTGCTTGCGCCCGTTGCCCGAACTTGGCTAGGAGATGGCAGTGAGGTGTGGCTTGACGTGGCCTTGCAGCAGCCTGTGCAAGTCGGACTTCGATCAACTATGCCCAACGGTGAAACTAGTTGTCTTGTAGACTCAATGTCGCGCGAAAGCTTCAGGGTTGGGCCGTTGATGATGCCGCTACTTGTCATGCGCCGACAAAAAGTCCGGGCCAATACACCGGTCAGCTTGGAAGAGAAGGGGAGCGGGAATTTGTTGTGTGCTCACTGGAGAAAGGCCCATGTGAAACTACAGTGTCCTTCGCTTTGGAAAGTGACAAGCCGGCTGCAAGAAAGGCAAGGCGCAAAGCTTGCGAACCCAGCAAGTGCTGAGCTTGTTCAGGAGTTTGCAGAGCGGTGCGGCGTGGACTTCTGTGTGAAGCAGAGCGGGCTGAACGACGAGCCTTTCCAATCCTCCCCATGTCCTGCAGGCAAGAGCATGACCGGGCGAAGGTTGACAAATTGTCATTAGGCGCAGAGTTTGCAGGCTGGATGGCTGTCGGAGAGCTTGTTCGTAAGCAAATCCATTTTTTTGATTGCATGTGCCCCCGCATTGCGTGTTGTGTCAGCGCATTGCTACGGCTCAACTTATGAAGGCAGGTTGCGTGAGGGAAGCGCGTCGTTGTTGCGAAACCGTGCGCCCAGGGCCTTGCAGACCGTTGATTTCTGGCTCCGCTTTAGCGTCCATCGGAAGAAAGGAGTTTGCTGCCATGGCCTGGAAGTGTTGTTCCAGCAAGCCCTGTGTCTAAGAGCTGTTGTTGATGGCAGTGTGGCGTCGCTTGGCCGCGGGGAGACAAACCGCAGCCGCCGGACACGCGCGGGCAACTTGCCGAACCAAGTGTGCAAGGTCCAGTGGCCGAGGATGGCAGAGTCGTAGGTGCGAACTGCCGCGCAATATGTTGCGCGCGTGAGCGTTGTTGCCCAGGTGCGCAGTGACACAGGGGCAGATTGAGATGGTGAAGGAGAAGCTGCAGCAAGCTTACAAGCAAGTGGCTTACAACAAAACAGCGCCAGGCAGCGCTTGAAAAAGGCTTGCCCGCGGGCGTTAGCCGAACAGGGCCCCTGTGCTGATAAAAAAGCGCTTTGAGGTCTTGCCATGCGAGCGCCGTCTTCCTAGGATGGCAGGCGCAACGAGAACACGGCGCGCAACGCGAGACAAGGGCGGTGCAGTCCGCCTGCGCTAGCCGCAAACATTGCTTTGCGCAGCTGTGCAGCCAACTTGGTGACACAGGGTAGGCTTTGCTTGCGGGGCTGACCTGCTGCTTTGCAGGTCGCCCCCCGCGAAGGGAGCGCACGCTGCGCAGCTATGCGATGTTGCTCCAGCAGCAGCTTGCTTGTTCTGGTTGTGCTGTAGCTCGCGAAAGCACCGCCACACTCTCTAGATTGGGGCAATCGCCGTTTCGGGTTGATCTTGTCTTTGTTTTCATGGCTCCAAGAGTGCGCGCCCCCGTGGTTGAACTGTTCTGAGCTGACAGGTGGGGCCCCTGGGCCCTTCAATTCCATCATCGCCCAAAAAAAGTGTTCTGCTTGTTCCTGGGCCCCATTGAAGAGTGCCCCGATATTGAAAGGAGTGAGCTGCGAAGAAACCATCGCTGCCCAAACTCAAACTAGAGCGTGGAAGGGGAAAAAATGAACCCCGGCTCCAGGCTGGAGCAAAGCGGGTTCTCCCAGTCTCCGCAGAATCGAAAAATCCTTTTCAAGCTCAAGCGCAAACCGCAGAAGCGAGCTGCTACAAAATCTTCCTCAGAAGGCAAACCGTCATAAGTTTGCTCGTGTTTCCCGAAACTTACAAACTTGACCAAAGCCAAGCAGAAGCCCTTTTTCAACCTGCTTGGCGCACCTGAAAAGGGTCAAAGCCAGAAAGAGCCCTGCCAACACAGCCCCTTTCAGAGGTCAAGTTAACGTTTTTTCGCGGGCATGGCGTTTGTTCACTTTGCTGCCTCCATTCTAGCTGTGTTCAGCGCGCTTCACCTGTGCCGAGCCGAGCCCGCATTTCCAGAGGCAACGCTCAGGCAACTTGTGAGAGAGCTGCGGAGTGCTGCGTGTGCAGGGCATTGGTGCAATTGCAAACAGCGTGCGGAAGCGACAGGAAAGCGTTGAGCAGCCCGATGTGTCCGAAGAAGAAAACCTGAGCAAACTCAAAGCGGCAGCTCGGAAACAAGTCGAAGGAGGTCAGGGCTCGCCAAGCTGGGTGTGAACAAGTTTGCTAGTGCTGCGCTTGAGCAGGCTTATTGGAGCAAGATGAAGTAGCAGCTTTACAGGATGACGTGAGGAACGCTGTGCTTTGGGCTGCGCGCAGGCTGGTCTTTCTGGTGTTGCCCAGGGCGTGGGAAAGTTGAGTTGCGCGCAGGCAGTTGCTTCTCGGCGGATGTCCTAGAGACATGTCGCAATGCCCGCGAAAGTGGGGCCAAGGGCAAGCTGGGCAATGTGTGCCGCCAGACGATTACACAGGTTGTTGACGCGCGCAAGTAAAGCGCAAGGAAGAGCTGATCGTCGCAGGTTTGTGCGCAGCGGTGGACCTGAAAGGTTGGAGCTGGCAGCAGAAAGAGGCTTCTTGCCCTCTCGTGCTCCGGAAACGCGATGCGCTTCGACATGCTTCCGCAGGAATTTGCGTGGAGGTGCGTTAGGTGCTGACGCCGTTGAATTTGGCCGCTTTAAAACGCAGGTGCGATGCGCATTTCCCGTGCGCGAAGGCATGCTTGAAGGATTACTCAAGCTGCCCGCAGGCAAGGTTGCGCCGTCTTGCCCGCCTCAGTGTTGGAGAAGTGTGCTGATGAACAGGGGTGGGATGATATCCAAGGACCAGTGGTTTACTTTAACCTGCTTGGCACGTGTTGTTTGCGAGCTATCTTTTTGAGGCATTTGCGTTGCGACGCCAGCCTACTTGGGAGAGTGTGCCCCTGTCTTGGACTTTTCTGACTTCTCGCTAGCTGAAAAATCAAGGATTGCGGCGTTGTGTCATTTCAGTTGGCCTTGCAAGGGCGAGCTAGCAAACGCTGGCCTTGCTCGCGCAAAGGGCAGCGCGTGGCAAGGGGTCCTCCTGGCACCTGCAACTGGCAACCAAACGCAAGGCGATTTTGGCGACGCGCGAAACGGGCCTCTGTGATTGCTGGTGGTGAGCAAGCGCCCCAGGAGGCGTCCGAAGAGGTCAAACTCCACGGTGGCCTTGGGCTCGGAGCTGTTGCCGCACTTGCAGGGCACGGGCCTCTTCTCCGTGTTGCGCTCTGTTGTTGGAACCGACGTGCAGCTGTGAGCTGCCGCCGCCAACGCGACCTTGCCCTGGTAAACGCTTGGCGCAACGCACCAAAGACCAAGCGCTTGTGCCAAACACCCGCAGCCGCGCGGCGTAACCTTGCCTTGCTCGCACTTGCCTCATCTTATGCTTGGCGTCGCTCCAAAGAGAGACCGCCTTGTGAATAGAAAAGCCTTAACGCATGCCCCCATTAATAAATGGCCTTCTTTACGCGGGCGAGGAGGGGCTGCGCAGGCTTCCCGACTCGCAACATTTACTCTAATTTTGCAGAACGTTCACCCCGAAACTGGCGAGAAATTGTGAGCAAACTAAGGTGAAATTGTGTGTGTGTGTGTGTGTGTGTGTGTGTCGTAGGACGTATTAGGAGGACGTTTGGCAAATTGGGAGAAATGTTAAGAGTAAATTACGGACTGGGGGTAAATAACCAGCAAAATTTCTTCAAACGACACAGAAAATTGGGGGTAAATAGCCAACAAAATTGGTGGTAAATAACACGCAAAATTGGCGGTAAATTACCGACAAAATTGGGGGTAAATTGCACAAAAGTTGGAGGTAAATTACCTACGAAGTTGGGGGGCCAAGTGCAGCCTGGCAGTCTCTGAGGAGGCTCCTCTTACAGGACTGTTGTTGCGCCTACCATTGCAAAAGGGCCCGCCGTGTTCTCAGCTGGGCAGCCCCGGGCATTGGTTTGGGTTCCCTCTCACAAACAGCCTTCTTGGATCGTTGGAAGCGCTGCGGGTTGCGCTCGGGCACCCGGTTGCTGATTCGTTGCAGAAAAACGGGCGCAGTGTTGAGCAACGCAGCCTTGAATTGCGGAGTGAACTGAACGCTTCTACCATTGCTGCTTGGCGGGTCAGGCCTGCTTGCTCAAAAGAAGAGGTAAGTACTGGTGTGAGATTGAGCCAGCCGCAAGTTTGTTTGCGCGTCAAGACAATAGCTATGACCGCGTTTCGCTTTGCTGTTGCTGGCCAATGTTTGCTGCTGCTTGCGCAGAAGGCAAAGGCTTTTGCAGTGTGGAGTCAAGGGTGTGCGTGGCCTGAATGTGGCGACAGGCTTCTTGCAGCGCCACGCCCGTGCGAATTGTTGCCGTGTCAGGCGCAGCCTCCCATGCTGGCCTGCTGGAGCTGCAGACAAGTGGCGGGGAATATGGGTCTGTGTGTGGCATGAACAGTGCTGCGGCCCACGTTGCTTGCAGACAGTTGGGCTTTGACTTTGGCGTTGTTTCTTCCACCCCGTGCGGCCAGTACGGGGGCCAGAGCCACTGCGGGGCCAGCGGTTCTGCAGTGGCCGTGAAAAATTTGAAGTGTGGGGGGGCAGAGATGAGCTTGAGTGAATGTGAGTTCGAAGACGCTGATGAGGCGTGCTTCAGCCACAGCAGCGATTCAATTGTTTTCTGCGGTCTTGACACCGCTGCGCCGTTTGTCAACGGCGAGCTTCGCCTGCTTGATAGAAACGGCGCGCCCGCTTTGCCGCAGGAGGCAGGCCGGCTGGAGATGTATTTGGCGGCCAAGAGTGCTTGGGCTCCGGTGTGCAAAGTTGGGTTCACCAGTGGGGCTGCAGCTGTGGCTTGCAAGCAAATGCAGTTCAGCGGGTCCTCAAGCTTTGCTGGTTGCCAGTCTGCTGGGCTCTGTGGCGGCACAGCGCCAGAAGTAGCAGAGTTGGCTTGCTCGGGGCAAGAGAGCAGCGTGGTGCAGTGTTCAATGGCAACGGGAGATGATGTGTTTTGCGCGCCAGAGGAGTCTGTTGCACTTTCCTGCGCTGGAAGTGGCAACGCCATTGGGCCCCCAGCAACACCTGCAAATGAGCGTGTGCTGTGAGCTGAAGACGTGCTAAGATGGCTTGATCGCAACCAGTGTTGCTATGGCGTGTGCGGCTGAGAGAAGGCTGCGCGCAGTGCCGCAAGTGAGTGTTGATGCGGGTGTACCTGCCAGGCGTGCGCGTGCGTTGACAGAGCTTGAGCAGAGCCGCAAAGCGTTATTGAAGTGTCGCAAAACAAGCCTGACGACCATGACTTGGTTTCGTTTTGCTGCCACCGGCCAATGTTTGCTGCTGCTCGGGCAGCAGGCAGGGGCTTCTGCAGTTGCACGGACAATGTGTTGAGCGTTGGCGAGAGGCGCAGTGTCACGCAGCGTCTGCCCCTACACGAATAGTTGGCCCATCTGGAGCCGCCGCCCATGCTGGCCTGCTGGAGCTGCAGACAAGTGGCGGGGAGTACGGGTCTGTGTGTGGCATGAACAGTGCTGCGGCCCACGTTGCTTGCAGACAGTTGGGCTTTGACTTTGGCGTTGTTTCTTCCACCCCGTGCGGCCAGTACGGGGGCCAGAGCCACTGCGGGGCCAGCGGTTCTGCAGTGGCCGTGAAAAATTTGAAGTGTGGGGGGGCAGAGATGAGCTTGAGTGAATGTGAGTTTGAAGACGCTGATGAGGCGTGCGTCAGCCACAGCAGCGATTCAATTGTTTTCTGCGGTCTTGACACCGCTGCGCCGTTTGTCAACGGCGAGCTTCGCCTGCTTGATAGAAATGGCGCGCCCGCTTTGCCGCAGGAGGCCGGCCGGCTGGAGATGTATTTGGCGGCCAAGAGTGCTTGGGCTCCGGTGTGCAAAGTTGGGTTCACCAGTGGGGCTGCAGCTGTGGCTTGCAAGCAAATGCAGTTCAGCGGGTCCTCAAGCTTTGCTGGTTGCCAGTCTGCTGGGCTCTGTGGCGGCACAGCGCCAGAAGTAGCAGAGTTGGCTTGCTCGGGGCAAGAGAGCAGCGTGGTGCAGTGTTCAATGGTAACGGGAGATGACGTGTTTTGCGCGCCAGAGGAGTCTGTTGCACTTTCCTGCGCTGGAAGTGGCAACGCAATTGGGCCCCCGGCAACACCTGCAAATGAGCGGATGCAGTGAGCAGAAATGGCTTGATCGCAACCAGTGTTGCTATGGCGTTTGTGGCTGAGAGAAGGCTGCGCGCAGTGCCATAAGTGAGTGTCAATGATGCAAGTGTCCCTGCCAGGTGTGTGTGCGTGTGTGTGTCGCAGAGGCAGGTGGAACTTGAGCTGAGCAAAAAGCTTAAGTGTCGCAAAACAAGCCTGACGGCCATGACCTGGTTTCGTTTTGCTGCCACCGGCCAATGTTTGCTGCTGCTTGGGCAGCAGGCAGGGGCTTCTGCCAGTTGTGTGGGCAATGTGTTGAGCGTTGGCGAGAGGTGCAGTGTCACGCAGCGTCTGCCCCTACACGAATAGTTGGCCCATCTGGAGCCGCCGCCCATGCTGGCCTGCTGGAGCTGCAGACAAGTGGCGGGGAGTACGGGACTGTGTGTGGCATGAACAGTGCTGCGGCCCACGTTGCTTGCAGACAGTTGGGCTTTGATTTTGGCGTTGTTTCTTCCACCCCGTGCGGCCAGTACGGGGGCCAGAGCCACTGCGGGGCCAGCGGTTCTGCAGTGGCCGTGAAAAATTTGAAGTGTGGGGGGGCAGAGATGAGCTTGAGTGAATGTGAGTTTGAAGACGCTGATGAGGCGTGCGTCAGCCACAGCAGCGATTCAATTGTTTTCTGCGGTCTTGACACCGCTGCGCCGTTTGTCAACGGCGAGCTTCGCCTGCTTGATAGAAATGGCGCGCCCGCTTTGCCGCAGGAGGCAGGCCGGCTGGAGATGTATTTGGCGGCCAAGAGTGCTTGGGCTCCGGTGTGCAAAGTTGGGTTCACCAGTGGGGCTGCAGCTGTGGCTTGCAAGCAAATGCAGTTCAGCGGGTCCTCAAGCTTTGCTGGTTGCCAGTCTGCTGGGCTCTGTGGCGGCACAGCGCCAGAAGTAGCAGAGTTGGCTTGCTCGGGGCAAGAGAGCAGCGTGGTGCAGTGTTCAATGGTAACGGGAGATGACGTGTTTTGCGCGCCAGAGGAGTCTGTTGCACTTTCCTGCGCTGGAAGTGGCAACGCAATTGGGCCCCCAGCAACACCTGCAAATGAGCGGATGCAGTGAGCAGAAATGGCTTGATCGCAACCAGTGTTGCTATGGCGTTTGTGGCTGAGAGAAGGCTGCGCGCAGTGCCATAAGTGAGTGTCAATGATGCAAGTGTCCCTGCCAGGTGTGTGTGCGTGTGTGTGTCGCAGAGGCAGGTGGAACTTGAGCTGCGCAAAAAGCTTAAGTGTCGCAAAACAAGCCTGACGGCCATGACCTGGTTTCGTTTTGCTGCCACCGGCCAATGTTTGCTGCTGCTTGGGCAGCAGGCAGGGGCTTCTGCCAGTTGTGTGGGCAATGTGTTGAGCGTTGGCGAGAGGTGCAGTGTCACGCAGCGTCTGCCCCTACACGAATAGTTGGCCCATCTGGAGCCGCCGCCCATGCTGGCCTGCTGGAGCTGCAGACAAGTGGCGGGGAGTACGGGACTGTGTGTGGCATGAACAGTGCTGCGGCCCACGTTGCTTGCAGACAGTTGGGCTTTGACTTTGGCGTTGTTTCTTCCACCCCGTGCGGCCAGTACGGGGGCCAGAGCCACTGCGGGGCCAGCGGTTCTGCAGTGGCCGTGAAAAATTTGAAGTGTGGGGGCGCAGAGATGAGCTTGAGTGAATGTGAGTTTGAAGACGCTGATGAGGCGTGCGTCAGCCACAGCAGCGATTCAATTGTTTTCTGCGGTCTTGACACCGCTGCGCCGTTTGTCAACGGCGAGCTTCGCCTGCTTGATAGAAATGGCGCGCCCGCTTTGCCGCAGGAGGCAGGCCGGCTGGAGATGTATTTGGCGGCCAAGAGTGCTTGGGCTCCGGTGTGCAAAGTTGGGTTCACCAGTGGGGCTGCAGCTGTGGCTTGCAAGCAAATGCAGTTCAGCGGGTCCTCAAGCTTTGCTGGTTGCCAGTCTGCTGGGCTCTGTGGCGGCGCAGCGCCAGAAGTAGCAGAGTTGGCTTGCTCGGGGCAAGAGAGCAGCGTGGTGCAGTGTTCAATGGTAACGGGAGATGATGTGTTTTGCGCGCCAGAGGAGTCTGTTGCACTTTCCTGCGCTGGAAGTGGCAACGCCGTTGGGCCCCCAGCAACACCTGCAAATGAGCGTGTGCTGTGAGGTCAAGACGCGCTTGAAAGCAACCAGTGTTGCTGACGGGGGTGCCAGCCACATATGTGCGTCAACGCAGCTGAGCTGCAAGTTGGTTTTACAAGAGAAGACTCACCAGCTTTGACCTGGTTTTGCTTTGCTGTCGCTTGGCAATGCTGCTTGCCTGCTGCTGCAGGAGATTGCGCAGTCGCGTGAGGAAGGTGTTTCTTTCGCAGGGTTGCGTCTGGAGCGTTGGTTCAACCCGCGTGCTGGATGGCAAGCAGTTCGAAGAGTGCTGTGTGCAGCTCATGGCTGGGTTTTTCTTGAAGCGAGTTACTGCGAGTGGCTAACGCAACTGGTTTTGGTTGCTGCTGCTGCTGCTGCTGCTGCTGCTGCTTGGATCCCTTGCGTTGGGGCAGGTGGGCTTTGGCCAACGCAAGGAGCTAACACTCGAGGGCTCGATTCTTGTGAAGGGGGGAAGGGGGTGGCAGCAGCTTGAAATCCCACCCACCCACCCTACATGATATGTGTCATCCCCATGTGGATGAGAGGGTTGGTGGCCCATGCCTGCTGCTGCATGCAGCTGGCCCAAGCCGGCCCCCCTTGTGGCACCTATCATTGCTAGGAAAAGAAGGGAGTTGCTTGAGTGTTTGGGCTTGGTGCCTGTTGTGCGCTGCACGACTGCGTGGCTGGCGAAAGGACTGCCTGCGCGACCTTTGCGTGCGACAAACAAATGCATCTTGCGATCTGTGCGTGGAGGGGTGTGGTCTGGGTGGCCCAGCACACTTTGGATAACGGGCTGTGGCCTAGTTGCCTGCTGCCAATATGTTTCGACCGTTGTAAAACAGAGCGCGTGCGGGCATATAGCGTATGTTATGCCTTTGCCCAAAAGGCCATGTGTCGGTTCAAAGCCCTACAACGCGGCAGCGCGCTTTGCATCCGGCGGTGGAAAGCTCAAGAGGGGTTCCTTTATCCACCGGCCGGGCCAGCCAGCGCGAACCGTGACCATTCATAGCAGGGCAGGAGGGGGGAAATCAAAAACGACAAGTCGGCGCGCAACCCACGCAACGCACGCAGACAATCCAAAGTCCGCAGCCTGCGCCCGTCAGCTGACATGGTGATGGTGCCCAGATTGAGATCCCACTCTGTTGCTTGCGCGCCTCGTGAATCCTTGCGCTTACAAAACAACTGTCCTGATCAGATCAGGACAATGCTGGCTAGAATTCGAAAGGACGTTTGGGAGTGCTGCGGGGTGCTATCCTGTAGGGGGGACGGTGTTTGGTATGGCGCTTTCTTTTTGCCGTGACCCGCATAAACTTGAACTAGTTTGCGTTGTGCTTGAGCAAGCGAATGGCAACAACCGCTCCTTAAGAATGGCGCCCCAAGAAAAATCAAGGTGCAACATTAGGTACGGGTAAGGGGAGCTACGTTACGAAGCAGTGGTAATACAGGGTTGGCGTGTTTAAAGGCAGCGCAGCGGCGAAAGGAGTGCAGCGGCGAAAGCCTTGCTTGGTTTGCTTGAGAGCTGCAGGCTCGCGCGCAGGGTGTTGTGGACAGCATGCGTTGGCTTGCCTGCGTTTTTGTTGCGCTAGCAGCTTTCAAGGGTGGGGCAGACGAGCTGTCGACCGACGCATCTCTCCCGGTTGCAGTCTAACGCAAATGTGGCGCGATTTGATGGGCGTGTAAGCCAATGCTCGCGCTGGCAGACAATCAACGTGAAGTATGACTTTCCCGTCAAGGACGCCTGTAAGCCTTGTGTTTTTTTAAACCGACGTCGCGTATAAGGACTTGTCCGGGGGTGGGCCGCGTGCTGCAGCGCAAAAAGGCGGTGGTTTGAAGACTATTTTGGCGCCTTGTGGGCATTGCTCGTGCTTCCCAGCCGCGTTTGCTTTTCGCGCGCGAGCCGCGCGCCTCCTCGACGCGGTGGACGCAGCCTCCGAAGATAGCGGAAAGGTTGGGGCTGCGGAAGCAGTTGTGCTTGAAGACGTTGGGCTGGTGGGAAACCTGTGCAGTGTTGTCTCTGTTGGTTTGTCTGCTTGCCCGCAGGTAGCCTCTCGCTTGAAAACAAGAGCGTGAGTATGAAATTGTGTCGGCGCAGGCCACGCCCTGCTTGACTAAAGGTCCCGCGCTGCAGAAAAAGACGACTGTCTTGTTGGCCTTTCGGCGCGGGAGGGCTGCCTTCGCCCAACAGGATATGTTTTCTGGGCCAGCTTCCTTTTGCGAAGCTTTCCCCCACACGGTAGCGCAGGATTGAACTGGGATCTGGGTCTCAGGTTGCAACCAGACAAACAGACCCCAATGCTGGGCCACAGTGCAACACAGCTGCGCAGAGAAGAGCTCAAAATGTTTGGGTTACAGGGTTGTGTTGGGACGTGTGCTTGCTCAAGGCAGCTACCCTGCGCTTGTAAACAGCGTGGCGGCTTGATTGCTTGTTGGAAGCGTGTTAGACATCGTGGAAAAATCTTGAGTGGTTGTAAGTATGCCTCCGTTCGTATGTTGCTTGCTTTTTGCAGCTGCTGGTGCTACAGCTCTGGAGCTGGGTCGCCCGCAAGCAGGCAGCAGCGCAGGCCAGAAGGCGCTGGGATACCGTCGCCAAGTTGATCGCCGCTGTAAGACACGGGCCCCGAAGCGCACCTTCGAATCATGGCCCTGCAAGCATCCAACAACGCTACTACCACGACGAAAAGTGGCGACGGTGTCCAGGGGGTCTAAAAGCATATGTTATTGTTTTTACCTGAGACAGCAGGTGTCAGGCGCCGCGTGACAGTGTTAAGCCCCGCTATCAAGTTTCAAAACTTTGCGTGTGGTTGCTGCACCAGCTTGCTTGCATGCTTGTGGCCAACCCTCAGGTAATGCCCTTCCCTGTCTTGTGCTTGTTGACAGCTTGTTGTGAAGTTGAGGGTAGGTGTGGCAGTTATTGAACGGGTGTGGCAGTTGAGGGTAGGTGTGGCAGTGGGTTGGACCTGCTGCGCTCAGCTGCCCATGTGTCGACCATGCGTGAAAAAACAAGTGGGAGGGGAGTGCCTGTGGGTTGTCAAGTTTCAAAGCGTTACAAACTTTACGTGTGGTTGTCAAGTTCTGAAGCGTTAAAAGCTGTGCGTGTGGTTGTCAAGTTTCAAAGCTTTGCGTGTGGTTGTCAAGGGAGCACGGCCGCAGCTATAGTTCTGTTTCTCTTTCTTTCTCTTTCTCTTTCTCTCTTTCTCTCTTTCTCTCTTTCTCTCTTTCTCTTTCTCTCTTTCTCTCTTTCTCTCTTTCTCTCTTTCTCTCTTTCTCTCTTTCTCTCTTTCTCTCTTTCTCTCTTTCTCTCTTTCTCTCTTTCTTTGTTTCTCTCTTTCTTTGTTTCTCTCTTTCTTTGTTTCTCTCTTTCTTTGTTTCTCTCTTTCTCTTTCTCTCTTTCTCTTTCTCTCTTTCTTTGTTTCTCTCTTTCTCTTTCTCTCTTTCTCTTTCTCTCTTTCTCTTTCTCTCTTTCTTTTTCTCTTTTTTTTGTCTGAGTTTTTTTGTCTGAGTTTTTTTGTTCTGGCATAGATCAAACCTTTCGCCTTCCTTGCCGTGCTGCTAGTTGGGTCGCCTGGTGGCTGCAAGCGCTGAGCAAGAACCTACAGACGAGGTGTGCCAGGCGCAAGGGAGGCAGTTACTTCCCGTCGTGGTGGGAAGGTGGCTCGTCAGAAAGTTATGTCCAAAGAGTTGACCCCGGACGTGCTGGTCAATGAAAAAGTCTCAGAAGCACGAAGACAGATTTCTCTGGCTGCTTGTAGAATGGCGAATTGTGTGACCTTTGCGCAGGTTGTTGCAAGGGCAAACAAGCAGGCTGCAGCGGAAGAAGTTGCGCCAGACGCTGTGAACGCTGCTTGGTGATTGCCTGAAGCTATGCTAAACGCGTGCTGATGCGTGGCGCGGTTTTGCCAGTGTCCAAAACTTTTCACACGCATGGCGCGATTGAACAGTTTCAACGCGGGACGCTTTCCGTAGCTTTGCGTTTGCAGTCCAGAGTCCTGGACGAGGCAGGAGCAGTTCTGCAAGGCCCCTCGCTCGTACACAGGGCCATGCTCAAGGTCAGTCAGTTTTCCACCCCTTTCCTGGACGCCAGCATTGCCTTGCTTTGAAGGAGGTTGTCAAGCACCTTGTCCTTTCGGCAGAGAGCCCAAGCAGCTGAAGAATGCAACTCTCCTTGGCAACAAGATTTACGCTTCCAGACGTGGAAGACACCTTGCTCTTTGGACTGGGAGGCCATGCGAAGGCTTGTGCGCGCGGAATCTAGAAGGTTGCCCGACAGGTGCGACACGAAGCAATTGTCGAAGTTAATGTGCGTGGAAGTTGTGAAAGGATGGGAGCCTGCCGGCTCAGACGGGACTTGCGCAGCAAACGGCGCAGCTGTGCTTGCGCCAGGCTGCGCGCCAGCGTGCGCACGAGCAATGTCGCAAGAGCCGCGTTGTGGTTTTACTTAGTCTTGTTTCAGGTACAACGTGCTGAGTTTAAACAATGTGCAGAAGCAGCTGCTGTCTTCGCAGTGCGGGTGCAACTTGCTCGCAGATTGTGCAGCTCTGGCTCACAAATGTTGTTGCTCGCAGGCTCTCTTGGCCTTGCGCAGAAGATTGCATCATGGACTGAAGTAAAGCTGCGCTTGTTTCTGGCAGACAGAGAAGCCAACGTCAGGACTTAGCTGCAGCGTGCCCAGACGGCTGGCGAATGCTGGGCGGCCTCTGCGTGGCGGCTGTTGAGTACCCGAGCGCTGGTTGTGAGGCGGTGTTACGCCTGGCCTTGCGAAAGCTGGTTGCTGTTTGAGCTTGCCAGTTTGCGATCAATGCAACGGGTTGGGCTCAGCCCCAAAAATACGAATTTGCGCAGCGTTGCAACGTGCCTGTTCACAAGCCGCTGCTGCTGCAAACGAGTGCCAGATGACACGCGTTTTGAAGGTAGCCTGGGGTGCTTGCTCTGGCTCCTCGGCTGCCAAAGCGCCGCACGCCACTTCTCGGTGTCACGGTGGCAAGCTGTGCGGGAAGTTTTGCCGTGGCTGGTGACAGGTTGACTTTAAATGAGAAGAACGGGCCAGTGGACGGTGATGGTTCAATCCTTGACGCAAAACCACAAGGCGCGCTCTTCATTTTATCGATCTTGCAACAGCGTGCCTGGGAGGTGTGCCGGTTTCTGGCGCCGGGCCACAGAGCTCCGCGCTTTCAGGGCCAGTAGATTCTGACGGTGTGTTGGCTGCTGCCACCCTGGGAAGTTGAGGTGTTGCTCAACGCACGTGCGCCATGTCGCACAGTGTTACAGTTTGCTGCCGTTGAAGACGTCTGGGTTGGCGCCTGTCGGGTCTGTGTTCTTTTGCTGTGTCAAGGGCGTGAAGGGTCTGAAAGAGCTGCCTTGACTGCATTAGCTGGCACGCGTCAAACCCTGTTGATCTCAACGCATCTTGCGTCTCAAGGAACGGGGTTGCCCCTGGGTTTGCTCCCATCCACCCTCCCTGTGATTGGCTTACTTGAAGCCGGGCCCAAGTGCCTAGTGCTTGGGTCACAAGGTTAACAAAACCCAATTGCTCGCCGCTGAGCGCTTGCAGCCGCCCGCAGCAAGAGAGCAGGAATCCCGCCCGGGCGGGCGCGGCGATGGACGTGCCCGCCGTTGCTAAAGAGCCCGCGCTTGGTGCATGCTCAAGCGCAAGTTGCTCGAAGCACAAGCAAGCGAACCCCAAGTCATGTGTGCGCCATGTGCGCATGCGCGTGTTGGCTATGCCTGAACCCAGCTGCTTGCCAGCGCGTTACGCGGAGGCGCAGGCAGGTGTTTGGAGATGGCGGCCGCTTGCTCGCGCTGGCTAAAGCGTGCCCCCCTCTTGCCTGACTATTTGGCACGCTCAGCGCCAGGAAGCCTTTTTGCAGGGCTGCCTAGGGCAGGCGAAAATTGTGTGTTGGCTGGCTGTGGCTGCTGAGATTGTTGTGGTTGAGAGACGGGGCAATCTGCTCAGAACCCGTGGGTGTGGACTTGTCTCTGGCAGTGGCTTTGTGAACTCTTTGAGCGGACGGAAAGCACATGCGCGCTGAGAATGGTCTTTGTTGCGCGATGTTTGTGTAGGCGAAGTGTTGCGCTTCTAAAACACAATTCTCTAGCCCTATGTTGATGACATCAATGATGGAAGTTCGAGCTGTGCGAATCATACCCGCGAGCCGAAGCACACATCACACCTCCGAACCATACTCCAAGTCATACTGCGCTTGGTGACGCGTTGCCCCAGCGTGGCGCGGCTTGTCGCACCCCTTCCTTCCTCGCTCAGCGACTTGGGCAAGCGAAAATTCAGCTGGCAGTTGTAGATTCGCAGATGGCGACGCGCTGCGAAGCAGCGCAGCATCCGCGGCAGCGGAAACAGTCCAGACTGCGAAAACCTACGTGGCTAAGCTTGGCAAAGCCTGGACGTGTTTGTAGCGATTGTGAGCGCGCGGGCCTCTCGCACCCTTCTAGGAGGAGCTGTAGCTGCTTATTGTTTTGGTCGGGGCAGTCACTGCTCAGAACGGACTTGGCTCCAGCAGCGGTTGAAAACTTGCCAGCAGGAGGGAAAGAAAGCAAGGCTTTGTTCCTGTTCCATCTTGTTAGATGGCCGTGCTGCCGCCTTGCAGGCTGCGCGTGGCCGCGTTTGCAGCGGGGTCTGCGACATGCAGTCACGTGCGTGCTGACTTTACATGTGCTTCGGCCGCGAAATCACGCGAGCTTCTGGCTAGCGTCTCTATCCCTCTCTCTAAACCGTGTTGTGAAAATGTTGCGCCTGGCTTTCATGTTGCTGTTCCTGACGCCTGCTTCTGGCCAGGTGGCCAGCGAGTTGTCACGGGAGCAGCTGAAGCCACTGACGACATTTCGGCAACAGCACCGGCGTTTGGTTTGCGACATGATGCTGCTCCCACTTGCGCTCCCATGCTCAAGTCTTGCAGGTGGACGGTCGCTTGTGCGCGGCTGCTTTTGTGCAGGTGCGCGGGCCATCTTCTCGAAAACATGCTGAGGTAGAGAGTGTGCGGAGCAGCTTGCTAACTTGCGAGGACAAGCGTGTCTACACCGGCTGTACTGACGCGAAAAGCTTACAGAAAGAGGGTTGGCGAAAAGGAGCCGCGTTGCCGCCCAGGCACCGACCCCGCAAGGGAGTAGCGGCAGAGAATGGTGCTACGTGGAGGCGCAGGCCAGCGTTTGCAGACGTTTGGCCGCACGTTGCCCCAGCGTCGCACCCAGCTTGTCGCGGGAAGCGACGATGCTTGGGGCTATTGCGGCACGCGCTGGCTGAACACCCCCCCCGCTTTTGCTTGACTATCTCACTTGCTCAGCGCCAGGATGCGTGCAGTGAACCAGCCTTGTTGCAGGGCTGAGTTGGGCGAGCGAGAATTGTGTTGGCTGGCAGTTGTAGATTACGACGCGCTACGGAGCAGCGCAGCAGCCGCTGCCGCGGAAACAGTCCAGACTGTGAAGACCTACGTAGCCAAGTTTGCCAAAGCGCAACGCGCTGCAGAGCAAGCGCTGGACATGTGAGGACTTTGGCCTGCTTCGTGGATGGCAATTTTTGAGCGTGCGCGCGCAGGTATCACCGTCGCTGCGCAGCAAAGTGATTTGGCAAAGCAGGTGGGCGCCTCGCAGCCTTCCAGGAAGGGCTGTAGCTGCTTAGAGCAGTTTGGTTGGGGCAGTCAATCGATTGGGAGCTCTGCTGTGAGAGCCCGCGTTGTTGACTTAGCTTTGGCAGTTGCCAAAGTTCACTGTGCGTCAAGACAGCAGCCGCAGCAGCAATCGCGACAGCCTCTGCTTGTCGCCTCCCTCTTTCGCAAATCACGCGAGCTTCTGGCTAACGTCTCTATCCCTCTCTCTAGACCGTGTTGTGAAAATGTTGCGCCTGGCTTTCATGCTGCTGTTCCTGACGCCTGCTTCTGGCCAGGTGGCCAGCGAGTTGTCACGGGAGCAGCTGAAGCCACTGACGACATTTCGGCAACAGCACCGGCGTTTGGTTTGCGACATGATGCTGCTCCCACTTGCGCTCCCATGCTCAAGTCTTGCAGGTGGACGGTCGCTTGTGCGCAGCTGCTTTTGCGCAGGTGCGCGGGCCTTCTCGAAAACATGCTGAGGTAGAGAGTGTGCGGAGCAGCTTGCTAACTTGCGAGGACAAGCGTGTCTACACTGGCTGTACTGACGCCGAAAGCTTAGAGAAGAGGGTTGGCGAAAAGGCGCCGCGTTGCCACCCAGGCCCCGACCCCGCAAGGGAGTAGCGGCAGAGAATGGTGCTACGTGGAGGCGCAGGCCAGCGTTTGCAGACGTTTGGCCGCACGTTGCCCCAGCGTCGCACGCAGCTTGTCGCGGCAAGCGACGATGCTTGGGGCTATTGCGGCACGCGCTGGCTGAACACCCCCCCCGCTTTTGCTTGACTATCTCACTTGCTCAGCGCCAGGATGCGTGCAGTGAACCAGCCTTGTTGCAGGGCTGAGTTGGGCGAGCGAGAATTGTGTTGGCTGGCAGTTGTAGATTACGACGCGCTACGGAGCAGCGCAGCAGCCGCTGCCGCGGAAACAGTCCAGACTGTGAAGACCTACGTAGCCAAGTTTGCCAAAGCGCAACGCGCTGCAGAGCAAGCGCTGGACATGTGAGGACTTTGGCCTGCTTCGTGGATGGCAATTTTTGAGCGTGCGCGCGCAGGTATCACCGTCGTTGCGCAGCAAAGTGATTTGGCAAAGCTTTGGCGCGGCTGTCCGCCCCAAAGCTCCTGGCGCGCTTTTCGATTGGTGGCCAAAGGCCCAAGGTGGCGCCTCGCAGCCTTCCAGGAAGGGCTGTAGCTGCTTAGAGCGGTTTGGTTTGGGCAGAATGGGCACTGTGAGCGCCTGCGTTGTGGACTTCAGTTTGGCAGTATTAGCTGCAGCTGCAAGCGCGACAGCCTCTGCTTGCGGCCTATTGCCGCACGCAAGGTGCTTGCTTTCGCAGTGGGACCTGCAGCGTGCAGATGGCGGCTTAGGGAAGAATCTTCCCATAAAGCACGGGTTGCGTCCTGCATTTACATGTGTTTCGTTGGCGCTGGTCCCTAAACGTTTGTTGGCGAAATCGCACGAGGTTCTGGCAAACGTCTTGCTACAAAGCCCCTGCTCCAGACCGTGTTGTGAAAATGTTGCGCCTGGCTTTCATGCTGCTGTTCCTGACGCCTGCTTCTGGCCAGGTGGCCAGCGAGTTGTCACGGGAGCAGCTGAAGCCACTGACGACATTTCGGCAACAGCACCGGCGTTTGGTTTGCGACATGATGCTGCTCCCACTTGCGCTCCCATGCTCAAGTCTTGCAGGTGGACGGTCGCTTGTGCGCAGCTGCTTTTGTGCAGGTGCGCGGGCCTTCTCGAAAACATGCTGAGGTAGAGAGTGTGCGGAGCAGCTTGCTAACTTGCGAGGACAAGCGTGTCTACACTGGCTGTACTGACGCCGAAAGCTTAGAGAAGAGGGTTGGCGAAAAGGCGCCGCGTTGCCACCCAGGCCCCGACCCCGCAAGGGAGTAGCGGCAGAGAATGGTGCTACGTGGAGGCGCAGGCCAGCGTTTGCAGACGTTTGGCCGCACGTTGCCCCAGCGTCGCACGCAGCTTGTCGCGGCAAGCGACGATGCTTGGGGCTATTGCGGCGCGCGCTGGCTGAACACCCCCCCCGCTTTTGCTTGACTATCTCACTTGCTCAGCGCCAGGATGCGTGCAGTGAACCAGCCTTGTTGCAGGGCTGAGGTGGGCGAGCGAGAATTGTGTTGGCTGGCAGTTGTAGATTACGACGCGCTACGGAGCAGCGCAGCAGCCGCTGCCGCGGAAACAGTCCAGACTGTGAAGACCTACGTAGCCAAGTTTGCCAAAGCGCAACGCGCTGCAGAGCAAGCGCTGGACATGTGAGGACTTTGGCCTGCTTCGTGGATGGCAATTTTTGAGCGTGCGCGCGCAGGTATCACCGTCGCTGCGCAGCAAAGTGATTTGGCAAAGCAGGTGGGCGCCTCGCAGCCTTCCAGGGAGGGCTCTAGCTGCTTAGAGCAGTTTGGTTGTGGCAGTTAAAAGGTTTTTCGCTCTGCTTTCAGAGCCTGCGTTGCGGACGTAACTTTGGTAGCTGCAAAAAAAATCATTGGGAGCCAAGGCGTCAGCTGCAGCAGCTTGTGCCCCTCTCACACTCTTGTGTGTGCGGTCCATCACAACAAACAGCAACCTTTGTGCTTGGGCACAGCCCGGTGGACTGGTCGCCAGCGGCAAATTGCGCAGGGCTGCTGGCTGTTGTGATGTGTGAGATGGTCGTGCTGTGCCAGAAGCAAGGTGCTTGAAGTAGGTGCTTGTGCGTGCGAGCAACGCAATGGGATCTCTAGGCGAGGTTGGCAAGGGACCTTCAGGGTTTGGCTGCGCGCTGCCTGTTGTGCAGCCTGCGGATTGAGGGGATGCGTGCGGGAAAAGGCGTGTGTCGTGCTTGAGCAAGCCGCTCTCCAAGAACATTCCATGCGACTCGCCGGCTTGCCGTTCGCTTGTGGCTAAAAGCCTGCGCTTCAAACACACGCGCTTGCGCGCTTGTGTGCGCGCCGCACGAGTGAGCGAAATAGTGTGTTTACAGGGGCCGGGCGCGCGCTTGTCTGAGCAAAAAATCCCGCCCGAACGCAGTTGCAGCTCCTGCAGCATTTTGCTTTTGCTGGCTGCCCGATGCGCTGCCGGCTGAGCTTCTGTTAACACACTCCGCAGCAAAATGCTCAAATCCTCGCCGCCGATGAAGAGGTAGCGAGCATATCGGCTGACAGCTGTAGCCCTTGCTCATTTAAAGCGTTGCGCAGCTTGTGCCCGCCACAGCGCGCGTAGTTGTATCACAGGTCCACGCGCTTACAAGTTTAGCTTTGACGCGCGGGATGTTGGAAAGCAGAGGAAAGATGTTCAGCAAGTCGTGCCTGCAGTTTTGGGGAAAGGGGCGGGGTGTCTGCGTGATTGATCTGTGCATGGGGTGTGTTGCCTGGGTGGCCCAGCGCACAGGATAGTTTGAAGGCCCGTTTTACTCTTGCTTGAAGCTTGCAAAGCTTGGTGACAAATGGCCCAGTGTGACCCAAAAGTGATGTGTAGTGATTTGGCAGCTGGCCTGGGCAGGTTAGTTGCGACAGTGTTTCGACCGTTGCAAATCAGAGCGCGCAGTATGCCCGTGGCACACTTGCAGCATGTGACTAACCCTGCGCCCCTTGGCTCAGGGGCACTGGGGTGGGAAGCGCTGGCTGCTTCTACACTCTTGTGGTTTCGGCCTCAAAGTTCATTGCTAAAATAGGACCCCACGCACTCCAGCGCAAGACGCCTGAGGTGATGGTGAAAAGCTTGTTTTTGGCGCAAGGCACTTTTTGCTTGATTTCAGCCAGGGCTTGTCAAGGGAACTTTCTTGCGGCCGGCATGCAGTGTGTTCGCGTGCTCGCGCTTTTGCTGCTGAGCTGTCAGCGCGCAGCAGGTGTTGCTGCTGACTATGCTGCCGTGCGAACGCAAGTCGAGCAGACGTATGCGCAGCAGGCGGAAGAGATGGCACAATTGCTGGTCGCCCTGCAGGGTGTGACTTCCGACACAGCCGCAGCCATCAAAAGTGTGGAGAGCGCGTGTGGCAGCTGAGGCGCTTGGCGCAGTGTGGTTTGTGCGGTTTGCGCGGCCCAGTGGCTGAAGACTTTGCGAGGCGCGTGGTGGGGACAGCTCTGACCATGGCGTCGCTGAAACGCGCGCGAGAGAAATTGCACGCAGAGCCAACTGCACTCCAGCGCAAGACGCCTGAGGTGATGGTGCAGAGGTGATGGTGAAAATCTTGTGCTGGCGCAAAGCAGTTTTTGTTTGATTTCAGCCAGGCTTGTCAAGGGAACTTTCTTGCGGCCGGCATGCAGTGTGTTCGCGTGCTCGCGCTTTTGCTGCTGAGCTGTCAGCGCGCAGCAGGTGTTGCTGCTGACTATGCTGCCGTGCGAACGCAAGTCGAGCAGACGTATGCGCAGCAGGCGGAAGAGATGGCACAATTGCTGGTCGCCCTGCAGGGTGTGACTTCCGACACAGCCGCAGCCATCAAAAGTGTGGAGAGCGCGTGTGGCAGCTGAGGCGCTTGGCGCAGAGTGGTTCGTGCGGTTTGCGCAGCCCAGTGGCTGGCGTCCGTAGGTTTTCATACAAACTTGTGGTTGAAAACCCGCCTACCCTGCCTTGTTGAAGTTGCTGGCATTGGCGTCCTGGCAGCTTGAGTTTCTGGGCGGGCCTGCCGCTGCAAGAGGGCTCGCGTGTCAGCGCTTTGCCTGTGGTTGTCAAAAAGGGATGGGCGGGGTGTCTGAACATGTATCGCGCGCGAGCAACAAAGTGGGATCTGAAACAGCGTTGCCCCGTTTGCCTGTTTGATTTCTGGGCCCTGTCTGCATTGCATGTCAGTTGACGTGTGCAGCGTGTTGGGTTTGTGTTCTGAGAAGCTTGGGGCTGGGGTCCAAATGTGTTTTCTATTCTCGAAGGGCTCCTTGTGTCCGCTTGCGCTTGAAGATCCCGCAGGGGGTGCAGTTTGGGGCTGGCGGGGCCAGGGTCTTGACGTCTACAGCTGGGGGTGCTGTTTTGTTTTTTTGCGAGAATGGGCCCCGGTCAGGCACCGTTGTTTTCACAGATAGAAAAATATTGGTTCTAACCTCTACTGACAGAAGAAGAGGAACTTGTTTTGCAAGATCGGACGCCATCGACTTGCCAATGGCGGGAAAAGGTTTTGTTGCTCGCAAGCGTGAAAAGGCCGCAAACCGTTCTTGGAGCCTGTGGGCCTTGTGGGTTGGGCTGTCACAGCTGTTGTCTCCAAAACGCGATTGCTCTCTTGTTGAAATGCAACCCATGTTCAGATTTCGGCTCACGCATCCCCAGTCGTTCTAGCTGGACAGCCTTGCGCCCACCGACACCGTCTCTTCTTCGTGTGAACTGCAATCAAAACCAGGTAACTGAAGGGAAATGAGAGATACTATAATCAATTTGTGTTAGGAATTGCCTCCTCTTTTATTGTTAGGATTTACATGAAGATAAGGAAATAGGATCTGTAAGTGAAAAAGCATTAGAAACTAAAAGGCCCCTCTCTATCTACATCTTATGGATCTATATCTTCAGGAACAATATTAAATAGACAAAAAGACAGATACAATAATTATAAACAAGACAAACAATAAAGTGAATCCAGAAGGTACAAATGAGCGAGTTAAATGGTGTGTGAAGCCGTGGAGAAAAGAATCCATTCCTTTTCATTTCTTATGTTTATTGGTTTTATTATTGTATCTGTTTTTTCCTTATGTTTCTTCTAATTAAATTCTTATTAGCATTAGTGAGAGATACTCCCAGCCACACAAGCGTAGCCGCCTTTTGGCCCCCTGCGCTTGCAGCTTTCAATGCGTTGAAGAGCTGCAAGACGCGATTTCTAAAAAGGAGGGTCGCTCAGCAAGAGCCAACAAAGGACGCTCGCGTTTTCAAGAAGGGGGTTGTGCAGCAACAGTCGCGCAGGGCACATGAATCCTTTGTGGCTTGGCGCTTTGGACCAATGTGTTGCCAGGTGTTGCAGGCAAAAGAGTTTAATGCTAGTCCAAGCGTGACACGCAGGTGCCAGCCCAGGCAGGGTTTCGAACAACCCCCTGATTTGTTTTCCTGTGTTGCCAGTACCCAGCGTGGATTTCCATGTCTTTGAGGCAGGAACAAATTGCAGGGAAGAGGCTACAATGCGAGTTTGATGTGGCTGCTGCCTTGAGAAAGAGGCGTGGCAGCCTTAGTCGCGCTGCTTGCTGCGTGCTGCCCATTGGAAGAAGAGGTGAAGCAAGTCGAAAACAAATTTCCCGCCTACAACTTTGTGCTTGCAAATTCCAATTCTGCCAAGCAGCGACTGCTGGCAAGCGCGCGTGGCGTGCCGACGAGGCGTGGTTTGGCAAGTTTTGTCGCTTCCAAGGTGATTCCCGTGGACGGTTTAAAATTCGGAACGTGGTTTGTGCGCTTGCCATGACCGCGATTGAAATACACGCTGTTGGTTTACGCTTAATTGTCGTATTGCAGTGCAGTTTCCATCACCAATATAATCGAAAAAGAAGGCCTTAACAGGCCTGCTTGTTGGGTTGCTTGCGACCAGATGTCAAACATGAAGTCAAAGGCCGTGTACGAAGGCATGTAGGTGGCCTCTTCGAACTCCTGCGTGCGACGTGGTGAACCCACGTCGTTGGCTTCGCTGGGCTGTCGTGTTGGCTCGACCATTGCCGTTTGTGGCAGAGCCTTGTTTGGCTACAGATTGGCCAAGTTCGGAAAGTGATGCGCCTGCGCCAGCCGCAGCCAAGCTTGAGGAGCCGCGCTGTCGTGTGTATGTTGTGGGTGTTGGCGCGAAGATCTTTGCCTTGGGACTACGCTGGCGCACAGCTTGCCCTGCTTGGCGATGCATTTCTTTGGTCTGACCTTGTTCCATTGGTGTGCTGAACTTGGTTTGAGTTGCCAGCCCGCCCCCAATTTCTCAGAGTTCTTAGCAATGAGCTGGCTGACCTCCAGGTTTGGTGAGAAAATAATCAAATAATATAGATATATATATATATATATATAGATGTATATATATATAGATATAGAAAGACATATCATATATATTTTTTTTTTTTTTTTTCCATAAACCATATAACCTTATAAATATTTTCGAATGAAAATTCGGGTTTGGATTATTTGTGTTTTGCTTAAAAAAAAATATAAAAAATATAAAGGATTTTTGGTTTGGATATCGAAATAAATACTTTTTATTTCGTTATTTTTTTTTTAAAAAATAATATAATAATGATATTTTTATTTTTTATATTAACAAATTGATATATTATTATTTTTTCAAAAGAAATAAAATTAAAATAATTCTTAATTTTATTTGAATTAAAATAGGAAAATAAACAAATATGTTATAAAGACATAATTTGGGTTTATGTTTTTGGTTTATTTATAGATTGGAAAAAGAATAAAAGAAATTAAAATAAACATATTAATAAATATTTTTTTGATTTATTTTATTTTCGATGAATTTATAATATATAGATTATATATATTTCTTGATTTAATTGTTTTTTATAATTTTAATAATGAAGATTTAAAAAAGGTTTTTTTTATATTAATTTTGATTATTTTGATAATATTTATTGAAATTAAAACAATTGATAATGGTAAATATTAGGGAAAGGGAAATAACAAATGAATTATATAGATTATAAAGATAAATATGATATAATAACATATTTTTTAAAATAGAAAACCGAAGGATGATAAAGAAATGAATCGTTGTTTATTTTTTGTTATCGTATATTTATCTTTTTCCCATTTTTATTCTTTTGTTGAATTTCCTTTCGAAGGTGAATTATATTAAATATATATATAATATAATATTAAAAAACAACAAAAAAAACATGAAATAGATATATAAAAAGAAAACACATATATAATATATTTTATAGGATTAAATAATTATTGGGATTTATTAGAATTAGAATTTAATAAATTATATTTTATAGAAATAAACTATGATTTTTAAAAATAATATTGACTAATTGATTTGAAATAATAGCAATTAAAAAACAATAAGATTAATTAAAATTATAAATTTATATATATTTAATTAAATAACAAAGGAAAATACATTACTTATGGTATTTTGGTGAATGAATTTAATCAATATATATTAAATAATTAAATAAATCAAATAATATAAAAACCAATATATTAAAATAAATTTAAATAATTTGAAATTAAATAGGACTTTTAATTTATATTTCATTAAAATTTAGAAAAATATTATAAAAAATGAAATTTTGATTTAATATCTGGTTTGTTGAAATATTATGATTATAGTATAATTTTAATGCTTATTAAAATATAAATATAAATATATTTTTGTTTAATAAATATTTATATATTATTAGAATATATAAAATAATAATATATAGAATTATATTTTATATATTAATATATTTATATTAATATATAATTTTTTTATAAAAATAAATTTAAATTATTATATATTTATAATAAAATTAATTTATAATTTTTATAAATATGTAATTCATTCTTAATTATAAAAACACATAATCTAAATTTATTATTTTAATTTTCGAATTATAATAATATATTAAAATATATTATTATAACAATAATTAAAAAATATGTTATTTAAACTATAATTTTAGTAAATAAATTATATAAACAAAATATTAAAATATAATTTTAAAATAATTATATTTATATATTATTTATTTTTTTTTAAAAAAAACAACTATTATATTTATATCAAATTCAAAATACATAATTTAAATTATTTATTATTTTCCAATCTAAATTCTATTAATTTATATATATTACAAAATAATTATTTCAAATAAATATTCATTTGTTTTTAAATAAATATATATTTCAAATATATAATATTTTTATATATTTAAAATTACACTACAAAATATAAAAAACCAAACAAATATTAAAAACAACATAACATATATCTAGGCAAATTATAATAATTCTCATCTCATCACCTCATTAACATAATTCAATATCTAGATTTACCATCCCACCTCATCAAAAAACATACATTACCACCACAAAAACAAAAACCCCTTCAAAACAAAAAACAATATAAAACTCGCCTAAAAACCTTCTAATAAAAAAATCCTTAAGAGCCTAAGCAAATGCATTTTAAGACAAACTCTATGTGCCGAAAAATCCTAAATCTTTCCATATAAAAATATATTCCTTTTCCAATATAAAATCGTACCATCACAATAAATTTAAAACCAGAGAAACAAATCACTCCTATCATTATTCCATTTTTATTTTTTTTACCCAAACAAAATCGTTTTCTTTCAAGATTTCCAAAAACAATCTCAATATAATAAACATATTCAATATATATTATCATAACAAAAATCTAAATTAAACAATTTCCATCAAATTATATCTATTATTTACGATTTACCATAAATATATATTCCTTTTCCCAAATAATTCTATATTTTCAAAATTTCCACTAATATTTTTAAAACCCAATTTTGCCATATATAAATATATTCCTTTTCCAAAAATAAATCATTTTTAAATAAATTCCAATAACCATCAATCCCATTAAACAAATAGCAAAATTCAAATCCATATATAAAACTCCCTCGGCAATTAATTCGAGAATTTTTATATATCCATCATTATTATTCCAGAAATAATAATAATAATAAAATTATATATCTCAAATTGTCAAAACCCATAACATTTTCAATCTCACATCTCACCTCATTATTTCCAATTAACAACTACCTAATACCTCGATTAAACTCACTATAATTTATCCAAATAACACATATAAAAAACAAAAATAATTAATCAATATATACATTTATTAAAAACAACATCCAAAAATATAATCAATCAACATATATATATATACAAATAATTAAATTCTTTTAAATTAAACAAACTCTTCTTTTAAAAATGAATATATTCTATATACCATAATAAATTCGATATGTATATTAGAAAAATATCAAAATTAAAATATTAATAAAATTTCATTTTTTAAATTTACTATCCAAGTTGGATCAACATTGTTTTAAAGATCACGCTCGCGGTTTGGCGCCATACCATTTGTTATGATCTTCAGGTACAGTGAGTGAGTGAGTGAGTGAGTGAGTGAGTGAGTGAGTGAGTGAGTGAGTGCGTGGGTGGGTGGGTGGGTGGGTGGGTGAGTGAGCAAAAGCTCCTGTTGTGTTTTTTGTGAGCGGGTTGCGGTTGGTTGGTTGCGCGGAGGTGCGTTGTTTGTTGTTTAACGTCGCACCCACCCCTGGATGAAGAAGGCCGCCGCCTCGCGGCGTCGCCCTCCAACCTTTCTGGCACAAACCAAACCACCTTGCGCAGGGCGTGAAACAACTAAAGCAACGGACAACCCAGCCCGCGCGCGCCAAGGCGTCAGCTCACTTGCCTACGAGCTTCGTGTCTTGCGTGTCGAAAGCGATGCTCACTTGACCACCGACATGGTTGCCATCTGATATGTTGCCAATGAGCTGGTGATCCTTCAGGCCACGGTCAGCAAATGCGGCTGGCTGCGTGTATCTCCAGCCAACCCTGCGACAAAAGCCAAGCCTGCGCATGAACCTGCAAAGCACTGACAAAACCAACACCCTCACCTTGAACCATCTCCGTCCTCGACTGCTATGATAAGGCCCTCCGTGAGAACATGCCTCAAAAAACGCAGACAAGAGGAACGCAACCAAATGTAATTTGACCAGCTATTCGGCGTGCCGCATCCCCGAAAATTTCCAGCGAAGTCACTCGACACTTCCCGCAGCTCACAGAGCTTCGGCGGGCACATGGTTCTGTGGCAGTCCCGAGTCCATAAGGCACTCCACGCACGGCAATTAGGGACACGTGTGAAAACTGCAAAGCAAGTTCACTTTGTATCAACAATGGGGTTTCTGGGGATTTTTCCCAAGTTGCCAAGCATTTTTTACAAGTTTTTCTAACATTTTGACATTTTTGGGGTTCAGGTTTCAGCCCGTTTTTAATGCTTTTTTGATTGGCCGGCCACCCATGCAGAACGTCACGTTCTTTGCTGTCGTCTTCAAGGAGGTGTTGTGCGCTTTCTGCACATGGCAGTCAGTAGAGCAATCAGTCTCAGTGCGCAAAGCACATAGATTAGTTCTGTCTTGCTCAATGGCGCCAAAACGCGGGGTTACACCAATGAGCAGAAGAAGGTTGGAGGAAAATTGTCCACCAACAACATCAAGCAGTGCGAGGAACTCTACCAGAAGCAATCACCATGTGCTTCTACCAAAACAGCACTGAGCATGAGTTTATCTTTCAGGTTTGTGGATCGCTGCACACTGAGCGAGTTGAAAAAGTGCTTCTTGAACCACCTCAACCGCATCATCCGCAATCTCAGTTTCAAGAAAGTCCCCATTGCTATGTGTTGGCGCCAACCTGACGGTGGGTTCAGACACTACGGGCCAGCGCCCTGGTGAAAGGCGCGGGCAACGAGCACGGCAGTGCACGTTTGCAAAGGAAAGCCTGCGCGCAGGAACACGACCGGGCACCGAATCAAAGGAACAACAACGCGGAGAGCGCAAGCAGCAACCTGAGCCGAGGCCCGAGACCCAGCCAAGACACAGCAAACTGCTTTGCAACAGTGAGGCGACGAAGGCGTGTTGGAGTCATCAGGACCTCTTGTTTGGGCAGTTCAAGGGTGCAGCAAGGCACGGACTGGCAGGGGCTCAGAAAGCCCATCATCCAACAGCACCTGGTCACACACACTGCGCTGTGTGTGAAACAACGGAGCAGGCATGAGAGAGCTTGGCAGTGTCAGCACAAGGGATGGCAACGTGACTGTCCATCTTGCGCTGCAGGCGCGCAGCCACCTCATCCGGTTGCATGCTTGTAGGGGGGGTTTCGTGGGGCATGATTTTCCGGGGGCATGCTTGCGGGAGGGATGGTGCCGAGCAGGCACCTTGTGCGAGCCGAGCCGAGCAGGCGCGACGCCGAGCAGGCGTGACGCTAGTGTTTGAGTTTTGACGCGTCTCAGGCTCTCGTGGGCGAAGTCATGAACAAAGACGGTCGAACGCTGGGGGAGAGTGCTCCACAAGCAGGCTTCTCTGACGGCGTGCCGCACATGCACCTTGACCACTTCTGGTGCGGCTGTACAGTCGCTTTCCTTTCGGAGAGGGCAAGATCCTTGCGAGCAGCTGGCCTAGACAGGCACCAGAATGACAAGGACCACACCCCAACAGGCGCGGCTGTGCAGTGACTGCGTTGCCTATGAGACAGTTGATGCTGTAACACAGTTGGCTTTTGCCACAATATACTCTTTGGGGCACGTTTCGCTGACCCAGAGGGGAGGAGAGGAAAATCCATCATTTTCGCAGATTTTGGCCGCCTGCGGGCGCAAACGTGCATGCTGTGGCCTTTCGACAGGAGCTTGGGGAGGCCAAGCGCTTTACAGGACTGGGCCTGTTCACCCAGAGCCTGACCGGTCTATCTCCTTCCAAAGTTTTGTGGTCGTCGCCAAGGAATCGGCGATATTGGGGCTCAGAGCGTAATTCACGCTATCAATCTCGACTCACAGACGCGGCATGCACGCAAGGCGTGTGTTCTGTGCAGGTCATGCCTGCATTGCCGCAACTGCCCCGGGGTAGATCTGTGCTATCGTGATCATGTGTTGTGAGCCAGCGCTGCCGCAGATTGCAACCTTTGAAGAAACAGTTGTTCAAGCGCATCCGAACATGCCACTTGCACGCCGCGGTTGGCTGATTGGCTCTTGCAGGAAGTTGCCTGGGCAATATTTCAGCGATTGCTATCTGCACTGGGCGGCTCAGAGACAGAGCCCTCCCCAACTTCTTTTACTATCTCCAGCTCTTCCACAGGCTGCGGACTGGAGCCACTGGCATCTGTTATTGCTGTGACACCCGCAGGCTGCTCTGCGGCGTCGTCCGGCTCAAGCCGCCGAACACCGCGCAGCAGAGGCACAAAGGGCACCCAACCGTCGGCGACGGCCTTCAAAAGCCGCTCTTGGCACAGCAGCTGCGGCAATACGTCATCCCCACTGTAGGCGGGCACGCAGCCCGTCACTCCCGGCTGACGATGATGGCCCTGCGCTGCTCGCTGCTCCGGGCTAACCTCCAGCTGCAGCGCCCATGACAACGTGGTTGCCTTGAGGCTGTGCAAGGTGTAAACGATGGCCTCCTCAACAGACATACCGGCGTACAAAACCAAGCAACGACGTAGCTGGCCCAACATGCAAGCATACTCGACCGGTTTGACCAAGAAGTCGCGGCCCTTGTCGTCCGTGCCAAGCTGGAAAAGCGACTTCCCTAACAAGCTCACCCAGCAACGAGCACGCAACGTGCTGCGGGCAATTCGCCAAGCCATGCCCGACACTGAAGATTTTGTCCGCCAAGACCAGCCCCAACAATGAAGAGTCCAAGGTCAGGGACTGGAAGTGAAGCCGCTGGGCATCCGACCAGCGCAAGCCGCCCCATAGCATCAGCAAAAAGGCGAGAAGCAGGAACTGGTCATTCTCATCACAAGTCCACATGCGCTGGATAAGCAATCCCGCATGCAGAATTTCCAAGCCAAGCTTAGACGCGGCAAACTTCATGGCCCGAACAACACTTCTGGCACGGCCCCGGCGACCGCAGACAGAGGCAAGCCCAGGTGCGCCTGCTACCACATGAACGCGCTGCCAGCCACTAACATGGCGTCGTAAGGTCGTGCCAGAACGATCAAGGAATAAGAAAACAAGCTGCTCGTCTGCACGGCCGGCTAGATTCCGCAACAGCTCGCTATGGTTGGCAACATTCTGAGCCAGCGCAACCCATTGCCGTGCAAATTTTTGTCGGACTGCATCTTCTTTGGCCTTCAACGATGCACAAGCTGGCACTTGAAGCGCCACTAGAGAGCGAGCAACGCCGCAAGGCGCAGCAGCCCGCGCAGACACGTCGGCGGCAGGAAGCACTGGAAGCGGCGGCACGGGAAGGGACGAGATCCGGCGAAAAACCGGAGCGGGCAATGCTTCCGCTGTATCCCACACGCGCTTGCGCACCACCTTGGGAGGCACGCGCGCTGGCTGGAAAGCGGCGTCAAAATGCGTCCGCATCACGCACAAAGCAAAAAAGTAAGCAAAGCGCCACACAAGAACAGCCAAAGACCGTTTTGCTTGCCAGCTGCACCCAGACCCAACCCAGACTTTGCTGCAGCTGCAAGCATATACATACAAATGAAGCACTAAGAACACAAGCAACAGACAATGGTGGGAAGCAAGGGTTAGAGGGTTATGAAGGCGCACTGGCCGTATCCCCGCCCACCCCAGTGCCCCTGGGCCCCACTAATTTTTCTGGAGCAGCATGTTGGCAGCTTGTCCGCACGACAAAGGCATCGCAGCATTACATTTGGGCATGCTGGAGCAAGAGTTTCAACAAGAACATGAACAATGACTTTTGGTCCATCATGTTATGTTGTGGTCCTTTCGCCGCATGCTTCTGGGAGTATGGCCACAATTGGCGCAACGTGGAATACTGGCCCAGGGTTGCCGGAAGCGACAAGGGCTGGCGCACCTTTGGCTGGAGGCAGAAGGGCCATACTGTGTGCTGTCACAGGGGACCTGGCTTGTTTGTTTTTTTTTCCCTGTTTTTTTTCTCTGAGTTTTTGTGCGCCCCCAAGTCAACGTCGTTGAAACCGTGCGTTCTTTGCAGAGCTGAGCGCAGGGGCGAAAACACATGGCATGACCATCGCGACCTTGCGAAGTGGCGTGCCACAACTGGACTTCTGACTGCTGGTGCCGATCGCCCCTCAGCGGCGGCCTATTTGTGCGTTACAGCTTGACACATTGCAAGTATTTGGTACTTACACAGCGGGCGCCTTGTTTTTATGTTTTGACGCACGATGCAATGACTGGCCCAACGCTGCTGGCTAATCTTCAAACACTGGCAGAAGCACCACGAACAGACACTAGGCAAACTCAACATGCTTGTAACAAAAGGGCAAAATTCTCAGGGGCCGAATCACTTGAGAATGCTCCGACCCACACACTCTTGCGACTGAACAACAAATTTGAAGATATATTGAACATGCTCTGCCACAGAGATCTGCGCGGAAGTTACAGGAATGCTTCATGTGTTTTGCCTGTTTGTACGAGCAGCGCAGCGACAACTTCAGGGCTGCGCGGGTCTTTTGTCGCCTTGGACTTCTGTGCTGGCCGGGTCTTTTGTGTCTGTGTCCGCAAATGATGGGTTTCAACAATGAGCACGCAGGAGAGCGCAAAGTGAGTGCATAGAGGCATGCGTAGGACGAGTGCAGAGTGAGTGTCAAGAGATCTGGCATGCCTTCTTGCACGAGCACATCTTGCACGAGCACAACTAGCACGAGCACAACTAGCACAGGGGAATCTGCGTTTCTTCGCGCGCGAGCACACCTTGCACGAGGAACTTGCTCACTAAATTGAAATTAGTATCTTAAGGCGGCTCGGTGGGACCAAACCTACTCTGCGAAAATGCGACCCTCTCGCGGATCGGCGTGTTCGAGGTGGAAAAACTCAATCGATTTGCGCGCGCGAGTCTCTGCGGGGATCGGCGTGGTCGAGGTGCAAAAACCCGAGGTTTTTTGCGATTTGTGATTTGCCCGCGCGACCCGTCGAGGTGCAAAAGCTCGCGGTTTTTTTTGGGGCGATTTTTGCTCTGCGCGCGCGACCCTC